TACCCATTTGCACCCAATAATGTTCAAATCTTTTAGTTGCACTCATTGTTACTCATTTCCTTTCTTTAGGTGTGCCGAAGTACTGGAGATCCAACTAGGCTTATGTTCTGCAAAAGGTGTGATGGTGCATACCATTGCTACTGTCAACATCCATCGCACAAGGTTGGGTTTGCATTGGTTATTGCTGAGTTTTATATCTTGATTAAAATAGAATGGCTCACATAGTCCCTGGATTATGCAGAATGTTACTTCTGGGCCATATTTGTGCCCAAAGCATACAAGGTGTCACAGCTGTGGATCCAATGTCCCTGGAAATGGTTTAAGTGTGCGGTATGATACTTAACCCATAGACTAGAAGCTCTTGCACCTAAGGGTTTCTCCTTTCTGTCCATATTGATGCTTCTTGTTTCTTTTCACCTATTGAAACTCTTTAATATATTGCTTGGTTTTTAGTGTTTGACAACTGATAGCTAATGATTTTTCCTGACCTTCTGCACATGCATTTCTTTTAGTATTAATATCTAGGCTTTATCATTTTCTATAAGTCTCACAGGTGGTTCTTGGGATACACTTGTTGTGATGCTTGTGGAAGGCTGTTTGTGAAGGGAAATTATTGCCCTATATGTTTGAAGGTAAATTCATTCTTCGTATGAATATTAGTGTGTGGGCTGGTCCAATTTGTTCATATATCCCCTAGCTTAGATAGTTTGGAAAGAATCCCCTTCCCCTAAAAGTTGCTTCTTGATAAAAATGGCAGAAATATGGGTATTCTGAACTATTTTTATTTGATTGATTATAACATCCATGTGATTGTTAACATTCTTCACGATTTTCTAAAAAATGAACTTACTAGACATTTTGGCACAACCATGCGGGTTTACAGAGACTCTGAATCCACACCTATGGTCTGCTGTGATGTTTGCCAGCACTGGGTGCACTGCCAGTGTGATGGCATCAGGTTCCTTGCTACCCTTGTACTTTTAAGAACCACCAATCTAATTTTTGCTCTGTTATCTTGTTTATTGCATTTTTTGGTTGTTGATTATTTTGAATGGGGTAGTTGCTGTCATATTATGGTGTTGAGTTTGATGGTAATAGATGTTTATGACTTTGAGTTTTCATGTGGTCAATGTGGATGATTTGTATTTCAACGTGCATCAAGTCCAGTGGGTTTATTCCTTGTAATTGTAGAGAGTCAAAATGGATGGTTGAATTTCTCAAGATGACTTTGAGTGTTCATGTGGTCAATGTGGATGATTTGCATTTCAACGTGCATCAAGTCCAGTGGGTTTATTCCTTGTAATTGTAGAGGGTCAAAATGGATGGTTGAATTTCTCAAGATTTTTGTAAAATGCTATCTGCATGAGCTGTCTCCTTGCTTACACTCTAATACTCTAGTGAAACAAACAAGTGCACCTTGTTCAGAAATTTTTATTATCTAGCTTATTTGTACCTCTCGCAAATAAAAAATGCTTCCTCTGCATGATTCAATAAGTCCTAGAAGACTTTTATGGTTTCAGCTTTACAGTAGCCACACAGATTTTGGATCATTATTTTTATGAAATAAATGTTTTGCAGTGATGAAAAATATCTGCAGTTTCAAGTAGATGGAAATCTCCAGTATAAATGTGCAACATGTCGTGGAGAGTGCTACCTGGTAGCTCTGAATTGCAGTGTTCCTTTCCTCCTCTTATCTCTTTCTCAGGAGGGAGAGAAGTAAAGTATTCTTTTCAACTTATGACTGCTGTCATAAATGTGTTACCAGGTTACAGATCTTGAGGATGCTGTTCAAGAGCTTTGGAAGAGGAGAGACAGAGCTGATTGAGACCTGGTTGCTAGCTTGAGGGCTGCCAAGTCAAGAAGAAATATTTTCTATCTCTCCATATTCAGATGATGAGGAAAATGGTCCTGTAATGTTAAAGAATGAATTTGGGCGTTCCCTGAAATTCTCTCTCAAAGGGATAGCTGACAAGTCACCAAAGAAGAACAAGGAATATGGAAAGAAATCTTCAAGCAAAAAATATCCCAAGAAAAAGGCATATCAGCCATCTTTGAGTAGTAAAGGAGAATCACAACTGAGTCTTGAATGGAATCAGGATATCCAATCTCAAGCATACAGTGTGGGTGAGGGCAGGAACAATGAAGTCGAGTCTGAGAGAGATGGACAAGATATTTCTTCTCCTGTTGCAAGAATTTGTTCTACCAATCAGCCAGGGGTTTTGAAACACAAGCTGGTAGATGAGGTGATGGTTGGTGATGAAGATAGAACATCTTGTGTTCTTAAAATCAAAAGTAATGAACCACACGATTTAGACTGTGGAGATGATAATGGAAAACACGGTAGCTGGTCAAAGACTGTGAAAGCAAAGAAGTTAGTCATAAATTTAGGTGCACGAAAAATAAATGTTACCAACTCCCCAGTATCTGATGCTTCAAGCTTTCAAAGAGAACAAGATGTGATTCCTCACAATGGTATGCTCTGACTTTCTCCGTCTCTGAGATAACTTGCACTGCATGATTACACGCTATGATTATCATATTTTCCTAAAATCAGAGATCCATCATTTCCTTGAATGTGTTGTCAGTCTAGTAACCTCCTAGATTGCTACTTAATATTTCTAGCCATACGCAAGGATCTGCATTTGGTGTGATAAACTGTTTTGTTCATTTACTTTAATCTTAGTTAAGTTCAGGTTTTTGTCCAACCCCTTTTATTTGTTATTAGATTGCACTTATAAAATGAACAAGATATTAGATGACATGCAATATATTGGTTTGTTGTTATCTCTGGTTTGGAGAGATTAATCTAAACCTATTCTGCCTTCTCCTCTTGTTTGACTGATTATAAATTGTTCAAGATGCAAATCAACAGAGAATGGATTACAAGTTTATGCTGGATAGGCGTGACAGTACTGCTAACTCTGGTGATGGTAATATAGCAATCATTATCCATTGCGTTGGTGTTAAAAAGGTTTAGTTGTTGTGCTGACATTGGTGACCATTTGGAAAATGTTTTCTTTCAAGGTTCTATAATTGAGACAGTTGGAATTTTTTATCTTTGCAGGGGACAGAGTTGATCACTCCACCAAGTCAAGAGGGGTGAAAATTGCTGGAAAAGAAGGGAATTTGATAAAGTTCAGAAAAATCAGGCCAGAATTTCCTGAATTGAGGTCCAAAATTGGTGCAGTCAACAGTTCTGATGGATATGGAATTGTTCCTCTAGAACACACACGTGTTGCATCAGGAAAAGGAAGCATTGATGGAAGTAGGCTTGCTGCTGCACCTTCAGGTGTGGTCTCCATGCTAAGAAGGGGCAAGATGATGTTAGGAAAGCAGTTGGAAGAAAGGGCTGATGCATATGGTGAAAGTTATGAAGATTATGGTCGCACACCTGTCTTGAATTCTTTGCCAAAAGATCCAAAACCGTCTCTTAAGTTTAAATTGAAGAAACCTAATCTTGAGAATCAGAATTCTCAGTTTCATTCTGAGGAAGAAAAGAGATCTACAAAGGGCCAAAGGTCAAAAAGAAAGAGACCACCACCCTTCACGGAAAAATCATTGTTTAATGAAGATGAAGATCTTGATGTTACACAAGCGCATCAAGACAGCTTAATTGATGGCATGATGGACGCTAGTTGGATTTTAAAAAAGTTGGGTAAAGATGCAATTGGAAAGAAAGTTGAAATTCATCAGGCCTCTGACAATTCATGGTAAGATTTGGCTTCTCTTTATCTCTGAAAAACCACAAGGCTGGATCGGAGTAAACCATAGGCCTTGGCTTTCTAGATCTTTTGCTCATGATTAATCTAAGTCCCTTAACCCCACACCCCTTATTTATTTCCCTACGCAACTGCAGAACATGTACATACATGAATTTTAGCTCCTAAAGTAGAAAGAATTTGTTGAGTTTTCATTCTTCAATTTCTTGAATTTAATAATTCTAGAGGTTCTTTAGGTACATTTCCTGAATTTAATCATTATTTTTTGAACAACCAGGTGTAAGGGAGCTGTTACTGACATCGTTGAAGGCACATCCTCATTATCTGTCATGCTAGATGATGGTAGAGTGAAAACTTTGGAACCTGGAAAGCAAGGTATTCGTTTTGATCTTCAAAAACAAAAGAGATAAAAAATTTGAAACCGAAAGCCTAATTTATTCTTGCCGAGTTGATTTGTAGAGATTTTTCCATTTTTCTGGCGAGGCAGCTCTCTGACACTCAAGCCCCAATGATTGGAGTTCTGCTTCTTTTATTATTATTTTTTTAATTTTGATTTTTCCCTGATTTGTACTGATGCTACTTTATAGCTTAGGCATTTTGTTTCAGGCAGTTCTTTTTTGTAGTGAAGAATCAAGCCTGTCCATGGAGGTTTTATTCTTTTGCAGCTTCCTTCTCAATGCATGCATTTGATGTTCAAGTTTGGTTCTCTCTCGTTTGCTCATTTAGCTAGAATAAATTTCATTGCAGGCCATCAAATTTATATCCTTTTCTTAATTCATCCAATAACTTCAAGCAACCCATTCCACAACAGTTTGTAGGTGAAATTTGTGCTTGAATTTGCTAGTTTTTATCAATGTAGATTGCAAACCATTTACAGATTACACCCATTACTTCTCATGACATTCTTTGTTAATACAAAAGAATCACCTCAAACAAGCATGGTCATTTTGATTTTCTTTGTGATTGAAGTACTACTAAATATTTTTGAGTGAGAAGCTCGAGATTGATTTGAAATTTATTGTTTGAAATTTGGCTTTAGCACTTAGCACAATCAAATTTTAAATTTGAGTTTGATTTGAGATAAAAATTAAATCGTGTGAATTCATTTGATTAGATTTATTTATCAAATAAAAAAATTTAATTTTCATAATTGATTTTAAATTTGATTATTTACGTTTAAATTCATTTATATATATATATATATATAAAATAATAATTTTTTAATTAAAATAATAATATATATATTAAAATATAAAAATTTGAACTTATCTCACTAGATAAGTTTAGCTATTTGAGTTTTATTTAAATCAAACTCAAATAATTTGTAAGCATTAATATATCATTTACACTTTAACTAACCGGAATCCATTTCCATCAGTTTTAATAATTATACAGGAGGTGGCGGCAAGTCCAACAGCAGCCAGAATCCAACACAATCATCTGAATCCAAGTCGTCTTGGATGGCAAGGAAATGTAAGCCTCCACATGCCTTCTTTGCAGCTTCCCAAGCTTCAGCTTCACTTGTAGTTATAGGAGATTTCTTATAGGTTGCATAAACATAGCGAGTAGAAATTCCAACAGATAGGATCAAGCAAGCACGAGCGGTATCGGCCTCTACTGAACAGACTTCCAATCCATTCATCCAAGCTGCAGTCAGACCTCTTGATTGAGACTTTAAATCCCCATAATGGAATTGTGAATGCAGTAAATTCATGGGGCAATGCCTATATGAAACAAATGGATTCAACATGAGAGAAATAAACCTGCCAATGGTTTGGCACGTGAAGATGCAACTGCTAGTCCTGGAATCAATGTCTTGTCATCGACTTCAATTCCCAGTAAATCCAAATCCAGACCAGCCCCAAACACAAACCTTTTGTCCAAGGACGAGATCTCCTCTCGGACAGCTAGAACAGAAAAAGTAAAACCAGTTTCAACCAGATCAGAAGGTTGTCATTAGAAAGCATATTAAACACTACTGGTATTTTAGTTGAGAAATGAATAATGAACAGCCGTTCTCCACTCTAACAGGATGAACACATCTAGGGTCTAGCAATATTTAGCATTTTGTATAAATGAAGTCAATTATGCGACAGCCATTAAAAGTGAAAGATGTACCTGAAAAAGGTAACTGGACAAATGCCCATTTTTCTCCAAATAAGTTCTCTGGAAGTTCCATTGGGAAAGGGTTATCTAATGCCAAAAGTGTCTTGGATCCCTTCTGAAAACCAGGATGACGCATATATATTGTCTCATAACGTTCTTCCAACCAAAGAAGTAGTGATAGACACTGAGAAAGGACAAGAACCATTGAACAAACATACAGTATAAATTACCATGTTTGTAACTAGCCCCAAACTGAAATATATGGCTACAGTTTGAAACTTGTAAGAAGCCAAAAGATGTGCAATTCATGTTGTACATGTAAGGACTCAAAATTTGGGCATTGTGTTTGTCATATCTTCAGTTTCTCATTGTTAAATACAATCATTTTGATCAAGAGACAACAAAGAAGGAAAAAGAAGAAAGAAGAATAAAGCTAAAATAGAGTATCATGAGGGGCAAGTAAGATATTCAACTATAAAAGCCTTAATGTAAGTCGAAGAACCAGGGTAAGAATGCTATAATTTCATTCTGAAACCTCTATATAAAAGTTCCATGCTTCTATATTCTACACAATTGTGTCTGACATGGAGGAAACAATTGTAAGGACTCTTGCTTTTATTTGAACCAGGATATAAGCCAGCCCCTTGAAATTGATTAAAAGTTAAGAAAAAAGTGGAATTCAACTAAAAATAATCTTAGTTTATGACTCATAGGGTCTGCAACTGCAACCAAAGTAAATGAAATGCTAGCAGTAGTGCGTTTTTAATCTGGTTTACTGGTGCTACGTGCGTTCAGTGTTGAGACAACCCATACAATAATAGTTCAGGATCTTTCTGACCTCCCTCCATGAATCTGTACAAGTTAAAGTTATTTTCAAACCAAGTAGCAGAGCACTTCAAGCTTAGCTGCATAGACTTGACAACTTTTTGCACATCTTATGCTAAAAATGTGACACTCGATTCGGTGATGATATGAAAATTAGTTATAATTTATATGTTGAGACTTAAATCCAAAATTATGAGTTTTTTTTTGTGATATAAAACCATGAAACTTTCAAATTAAAACGGAAAACACCTCGTAAATTCGGTGCGATCCCCAAAAAAATTAAATTAAGCAGTAATACATCATACTTTATGCCAAGCTCACCCGTTTACTAGGAACCGGCTTTATGCCAAGCTCCTTACATGCCTTTGTAATTATGGTTTGCATTTGTGACCTACAAAACCAACAAAAAAGAAATCAACAAAGAGCATTGATTATGTTCAACATGCATGCAGGCAATCGTATAGGGAAATTTGTATGTTAAAAAACTGTAAAATTGACCTGAAGAAGCGAACTTTTTCTGGTATAGGGACACCTAAATCCTCACTAATTGAAACAATAGCATCCTTTAAAGTAATACTATTGATAACATTGTTGGGAAAGTACTTTGTATATTGAAGTGAAAGTGAACTGTCACACACTACAAGTTCCCATATCTTCTTGCCCCTGATATCTAGCATGGGTCTCGAGCAAAAATCCAGTTCCCACTCTGTAATGCTCGAGGGGTCGGTTTCTGAGTCAAGATAGCTCAATTCTGAAGTTGGGTCATCTTCTTCACTGTCATCAAATTCAGCTTCTTTTGGCACTGACACCGAGCTTTCTGATATAGAGTTTGGTTTAAAGTGCAGCTGTTGGTAGTTTTTAGATGAGAAAAGGAATGAAATGTTGCAGGATTTTGTGAGAAAGTGAGATTTGGAGATTGGTTTGTGAGATTTGAGAGCTGGGGATTTGATTCTTGTGGAATTGAAGCTTAGAGTTGCCATGAAAAGCACCTGTGAAAATGATCAAAGAAGTAAAGATGATGTCTGTTTTTCAGTTACAGGAGAACCGCACATATCTATTCGCAGATATGGGCTGGATTTTTGGATAGGGTGGCCTTCATCTTGTGCCCATTTTATACTGAATTTTATACATTCTAACGGATAAACCTAGCCCATTTTTTGGGCCCAAAACCTAACCCACTTTAGCAAAAATGCAATTAGGTGAAAAATAAATATAATACGATTTAAAAATTTAGTAATAATTATATATGAATTTAATAAAATAAAAAAAATTATTTTATATTTCGTGTGAATAACAATTATGACGGGATATCCTTTTTCCCTCAAATATATTTGAATTTCCTTAAAAATCCCTTTTTCCAAATTCTTGTATTTCTTACCTGCCTTGTGTGAGTCTGCATGTATAACATAAAATAATTGATATATAGAATTAATTTACATAAGTCAGAAGAAAGCATTTAATTAATGAATAAGGGAATTTCCCTTCTCCTTTGATTAGGATGAGCAAGGTGGAGAAACATTCCCTATATAAGATAATCTAACATTTGAACATGAAGCTTCTGCAATATCTTCTTCTTGTGGTCTTAAAGCTACATCTTGCAAAAAAATCCCCTGACAAGGAAAACTCCGGCTGCAATCGAATTTCATGGCCACGTTAGAGGCACTTGTTCCTCTGATGTTTTGATAAAGCACATTGCTAACTTGAACTGCTGACACCTGATCATCAACAGTACATGCAGGTTCATTATGGTGCTGCTCTGATGTTTTAGGCCAGGATTTGTATTCCAGGGTTAAGGCTTTTTACCTGTTTGGAGCATGGTTTTTGTCGATCACAATAGTTTTGATCAATAATTATAGGATTGCTGACATTGTGCATCACTATATTTTGGAATTTGATGTTTTTGGCATACCCTGATCCTCCCTACAGTATAAATCGGACCAAATGAACATATTGTAATCTGAAATTAAGATGGAATTATATTCTTAAAAGAAAGCTCTTACCTGCCATGTCTTTATTCTCACTCCATTGGCGGTTCCTGAAAGTGTTGCTTTATTCACTATTACATTGGACACATAAGCTGCAGAATTTCTAGCTCCTAAGCTCCCAATGCTGAAAATAATAACAAATTGCAACAAAATCCCATTAGGATTTTTACTCCATCAAATACCATGTTCGTAGTAAGTTGAAATCAATTAGGTAAAAGTTTGGTTGAGACTAGTGTTGAATTAGCTCGAAACCTGATTCCATGGCCTGGTCCGCAAGTTATACCCGTGGCGCGGACATTTTTGGAGCCGCTTACTATAGAGATACAATCATCACCTTCAAATATTGCACAAGATGAATTGATCAGCATAGACTTTGTGATATTTAGGTGTCCCTGATTGATTTAAGTACTGTTTTATTTGGTTTACCTGTGCTGATGACACAGTTGTTAATGTTAATATTCTGGGTTTCAGTGACATGAATTCCATCCGTATTGGGGCTGTTTCCAGGTGCAGTTACATAAAGGTTAAAGGCTTGTACATTGACACATTTTTGAAAGGTAAGATGCATTTGTTGAGCATTTTTTATCTGCAGTCCTGCTACTCTCAGGTTAATACATTCATTGAAGGTTACAGCCTGCAAAAACACAGTTCTGTTTAATATAATACATATATAAAAAGAATAAAAAATCATCTCCAATTCTTACATACTTTAGAAAAAGTATAAAAAATTAATGAGAAAGTATGTGAACTTACTGTTGGCGCTTCCTGGCAAGGCTGCAAAATGATGGAACAGAGAAATAGAAGAAGAAATATTAGCTGTTTATTGATATAATTCGAAATATTGATATAATGCAAATGACATACGAGGGCTTTGTTAATTTTGCAAGACTTTTGCCACCATGTTCTGCCATTGCCATTGATGACGCCTTCACCTTCTACCCTTAAATTTTGAACATTATCAAAGTAAAGCCATTGTCTTCTATTTTTTTTGTAATCTGAGTGATCGACAGTGGCTTCAATTGTTCCATAGATCTGTCAGGATCAAAAGAATAGGAAAAATGTTAAATGAACTAGTAGTCTATCTCTATCATTCAATTATAAGTGATTTATCAGTTCATTTTATGCCTACCTTCATGTATGTATTTGAAATGAATTTACTAGTATGTATGCATGGGAGATTAATTTGAGGCAAGCATGCATGCATCCATGCATGCCAAAACTCACCTTCAATACAAGAGCAGATTTGCAAGGTCCTGAGAAATCAATTGGCTTAAGACGATAAATCTTGTTCTGAGGGACCACCAGAATAGCTCCTTGAGAAGAAGAACAAGCATATTTCCAAGCTTTCTTAAATGCCTAAACAAAAAATGTTAAATGTCAATCAATAATGGTGATCAAAGGGGAAAAACAGAGTTGAAGTGAAACCACAGGGTACCTCAGAGTCGTCTCTTCCATTAGCTAAAGCTCCAAAATCATCTACTTTTAGAGTCACCGGAGCACGAGCTGTATCAAGCCTCGACCAAATTTCATTGTTATAGTTGAACAGGTTTGCAGAGTTGGGATTATAGTAGTTTCGTTGATTGGAAAAGCCAAAGGTGCCAAAATATGGATGATAGGTTCTTGGGCGGTGATAAGCATGGCCTTGACGAAAACCGATGTGAAATGGGTCCTCTCTGTAAATGCAAAAGCAGGAGCTGAACAAAGAGATTAATGTAATGAAAAGTGGGAGACAATGGGTTTTTAGGAACATCCTGATCTTAACTTTTAGAAGAGAAAAGACAACTAATCTTGGATTGAAGTTGAAGGAATTAAATGATCTATGGATTGTATATATATGCTTTGTCATGAAGTGCACATATAGTTATAGTAAAGCATGGGAGTTGCCGTTCGACAATGATATGTCTGTGGAGAAGCAATGGCAGTTATTAGGTCTTAGAGAATGTACATGAAGTCAAAGAAAAGAAGGTATGGAAATGGAAGAGATTGAAGAAACTGAGACGAAAATGTTTACTTGGCTGCATCTACCCTATTTGTTTATTCACATTTCTTCAACTAATGAAGAAAAGAAATGAGCTCGGAGCTTCAGTTAGTTAGTTAGTATTACTTAATTTGTGCTTGTTTACCAACATAATACATGCCTGATCTGCTGAATTGTGGTCATACATATGCAGCTAGTTAATGTATATCGAATTCATTTGGTTCAAACACATGCATGCATGCATATGCCTGGGCATATTTCTTGCCTTTAAGTGAAATTAATTGTGCTGTTGTTCTCCATATATAGTAATTAAATACACCAGAAATGAAACATGTTAATGAAGAGAAGAAAAAAAACACACACACACACAAATATAGATGCTTAATATATAGTTTTTACAGACTAATATGGGGATCACATGATGATGACTTTGTACATTCATGTACATTTCATCAGGATGCGTTAGGTAGAGTCATTCATTTTTTTCAAGCTTAGGTTATGGAGTTTTGGTATCAGTCCACCTATTCTTTGTTAGAAAAGCACCCGATAATTTATAATTTGACCATCTGATCAGGCCAAAGAGCAGTTGTTTGGAAAGTCCACAATTTTGACTATTATACGAGCTTAATTTCAACTAACAAATAACAGATTTTTGAAACAACTATGTGAAACATGCAATATTTTCTCATAATCATTGTTAAATTGAAGGTTTAATGCCACTTTCTACGCCCACTATAATTATAATGACGCAGGTTTTACTCTTGTTTTACGGGCTATTAGAAACAATATTGGTTTCACTTAGTCAGACAGACTCGATCTCCAAATTAAGCCAGTCAAGTTAACCCAACCCAAAAACGAGCCCTTTTTCATTTACTCAATTAATTACTTGTGTAATATATCATCGAGTATGTGCATGCATGCATGCATTTGTGTTTATATATATATACATGGCCATGTATTTATCACCTTATGGCCATGTATATGTCATTTATCATATGATCAAACTTCAAAGGGAAAAGGGGAGGGGGGGCGTGGGTTTGGTTGGGTGAGTTAGAGAAGTTAGCACCATTAATGGAAATTAAAAAGAAGCCAAGAGAATGGGATTTGGCGTGTGCTTTGGGGGGTGAAAGAGAATTAAGAAAAGAAATAAGAGCCATAACGTCACCCTATACGCTTGCCGTGGTGTGTTTGAATTTTGAAAGCTGAGGCATGGACTATTGTTTTAGTTTGTGTGTCAAACTGTCAAGTCATCAAGTCTTTTGGTGACTTTGGGTTTTTTTGCCACTTCAAGGAGGCTTCTGGTTTTTATGGCATGATCAAAGCCGTTAAAACTGTATATATATATATATATATATATGGCATACATATATGTATTTGGTTGCTTTAATGTAAGGAAACTTGTACAGAAAATCTGTACATATATGGGTTTAAAGTCAAAGCATATACCAAACATTGACCCCAAGAAGCTAGATAGAAATGGAATTGGCATCCAAAGTTCCAAACTGCCAACCTCTCTTAACTAGAATGCCTTGTCATGAAAATTTCATAAAAATAAAATAATGATGAGAAAAGTAGACTAGATTAGAGAATTTGGTAATTGGTTGTTGAAGGTTTAGGCAAAAGAAGAGGCGGAAATGGTGAACTAAAGATGGGACAAAATACAAAGGAGAAAGTTAAATTATCTAATTTACTAGTATATAATATGCACTGCGTGAGAAATCAAACAGGGTGAGGGTGACAGTGAGCTTAGTGTGGAGTGGGGAGAAAACAAGAATAATGGTTTCCCCACTCCCTGCGGCTTTTTCAAGTGTCATCGAGTACCAATCTCAAAGAGGCTACCTAAATGGTATTTAGTCAAACACAAACTGGTCCTGATTTGGAGATGGGATTTTTTTCAAAGCTTTTATTGTAACGTTTCTAATTTCTTATTGAAAGAATATATAATATAATATATAAAAATTTAAATTTAAATTTATGAAATACTTTTTTATAAAATATTTAAACTTTTAAATCAAAATGAGTAATATCTTTATCTCCATACTGATATTAAAACATTCCGCATGAAAGATGACAAGAATTATTCTATCTCAGATCAGGGATGGAGGGGTTGTTTAGTCTGTCAAGTGTTTTGGGTTACTTGGATTGTTGGTCTGTTTATGAGGTTTCTTGTTGGATACAAAGAGCCACAGCCCACAAGTTTGGATAATATGAGCCACGTATGAGTTGTGGACCCAAAGCCTTATTTGGACTACCCTCACTCATTCTCATAGTCATCTTGGCCCAATTATATAATATAGCATGAAATGTTGACAAATGAAAATTAGGATAAACAGTTGTGGTTTACTTTTCTGGATGGCAATGGGAATGAAGGAACTGTCAATTGTCACGTAGTGGAAGGTATCTGATAAGCCTAAGGGGAAATATCAATGCAGCATCAAAAGTAAACTTACACTTCTTATTTTATAATAAAAGTTTAAGACGTGGCACTTCGCGCACCAACAAACCACAATCATACATATAACCATTTTCACCACTTTCCACTTCAATCAGTGCCCAGTTCTTGGCCGGACACAGAAATGGCTGAGGATAAGGAGAAACTGTTGAACAGAGAAGGCGGAGGAGCTGGGACAGGAATCTTGGAAGTGTCTCCGAAGCCCCAAAAAGGGCTGAGTTCCAAGCTGATTGACTGGTTGGAGAAGTTAATAGTTAAGCTTATGTATGATTCTTCACAGCCTCAGCATTATCTGTCGGGTAACTTCGCTCCTGCTCGTAACGAAACTCTTCCCATCAAAGATCTTCCTGTGAAAGGCCACCTCCCTGTAAGCTAATACTATTACTCAGTAAAATCTTTCATTCAATGTCACTCTTCGTTAGTTTGGGAGGAGAAGAGTATATTCTTCTTATTTCTTCTTTTCTTTGTCTCAAGGGTTTACCTTTACTATTACCTTAATAAAGTGGTTGAAATTGGATTAATTAAATGGTTTTATTTTCTATTTTTGTCAGGAATGCTTGAATGGTGAATTTGTCAGGGTTGGGCCCAACCCCAAGTTTGCCCCTGTGGCTGCATATCACTGGTGTGTGCATCTCCAACTCTTTTTTTTTTTCCTTGTGAATCAAGTTTCAGTTTTGATTTATAAACCATGTACCATCACATCTAATTCTTTTTTTATTATCTCTGCCTACAGGTTTGATGGAGATGGGTATGTTAAGTCCACTTAACCATTTATATATAACATTAGTTCATTTCATTGCAAATTTAGGTCATAAACACAAGTGGATGGATCTATTTATTGCACTAACTGTGTGGATGCTTGTCAAAATGCCAATTCAATTCTTGCTCTTTGCTTTGTACCTTTACATGTGGTTATATGGTATAACACAAATAACATATAGTAAACTGTTAACTCTGGAATTTGCAGAATGATTCATGGTATGCGCATCAAAGATGGGAAGGCAACATATGTCTCCCGTTACGTGAGGACATCACGTCTTAAACAAGAAGAGTTTTTTCGAGGTGCAAAATTTATGAAGGTATAAGGGTTGAAAAATGTTAGCTGACTATTTCTAATAAGTGAACCTCTTTTACTCATTATAATGCTAGAATATACTTCATGAATTAAAGGAATATAAAGCATTGCAAAGTTGTATGGCTATGTTTTTTATTTCCTTGGGCTGCTTCTAAGTGGTGCACCTTTATGAAATCTAAGCAGTAATGGCATGACCTGCACACATACATGACTACAAGAGAAGCATTAAGATTTTAATTCTAACTGTAGAAAACCGATGTTGCAAATGCTTATCTCAGACATGTCATTATCCTCTTTTGAATATGCCATTTTGCAGGTTGGAGACCTTAAAGGGCTATTTGGGCATCTCATGGTCAATATACAGAAGCTAAGAGAAAAGGCTAAAGTGTTAGATCTATCATATGGAAATGGGACAGGTAAATTTGTTGAGATTGTTTCTGCCGGAATGCAAGATAAAGCCAATGAATTCTACGCATCCCCTTTCAGCAAGTTCCATTACACGCAGTTGCACAATAGAAAATGGATTTTTTGTTGCTTATGAATGATGTCTGTGATGCATTTATACTTTGTCTCTTTTGGGTGCTAGTATTTGTTTGCCCTGGTGTCTGTTTCTTCTGTATATAGAAAGCAAAGATATGGCTGGATGGTTCTAAGATCCCGATGTTATTTCTGGAGACCATCAGTGAAAGGAAATGTTAGTGAACACTAAGTGTGCTAGAATGGATTGTGGATTACATTCTTCGTTCTTATACATTTAGTTGGTCTGGTACCCTTTGGGAAGAGGGCTTCCGAAACATATTTGTTACTCAATTTATTCCATGAATCCATGGCACATTTATCCATCAAAATGCAGTCTGAAAACAACCCTACCCTGTCTTTTCCATTTTTTATAATGCTTATCACTAGTGGTTAACCTGGTTTAAAATGCTTATCTTATTGATGTGAAACTCTGACCTGGCGTATCATCATTGTACAGCTAATACAGCTCTCATATATCATCATGGGAAACTCCTGGCACTTCACGAGGGAGATAAACCTTGTAAGTTTGTCTTCTCTCTCTCAGTTTTCTTTTAAGAAGGAATAAGGAGGGTTGAGGATGCCAAAATTCACATATTTTTGCAATTCTTGTTTTGTTTTACTGGGGATTATATTTTCTTCAATGAAACTGAGGTGTTAAATTGTATCCCTTTTGCAACATGCAGATGTCCTCAAAGTTTTGGAGGATGGAGATCTCCAAACTCTTGGCATGCTTGATTATGACAAACGGTTGTCACATTCCTTCACTGCTCATCCCAAGGTTGATCCAGTCACTGGTGAGACCCATTATTTAAGTAGGAAATCTTTAAGTTATAAGTTACAGTGGTAAAAATGCTTTTGATTTATAAGATTTCTGCATGCAGGTGAGATGTTTACTTTTGGCTATTCACACATGCCACCATATATCACATACAGAGTTATTTCAAAAGATGGTTTCATGCATGAGCCAGTACCAATAACAATATCAGCACCAATCATGATGCATGACTTTGCGATTACTGAGAATTATGCAATTTTCCTGGATCTTCCTTTGTATTTCAGACCAAAGGTATGCCAACTTCAGTAGAGCTTTTATTGCTGTACTATCAGAAAGCCAACTTTCAAACCTTTGTATAGGTTGATATATGACTTGGGTTCATAAAGTGTTGTTTGATTTCTCCTTCAAAACTTCTCTTTGGTTTGTAACTGAAAATTTTCATGGGCAATGATGAAATCTTGTCTACTGACATCAATGTTGAGAATCATAATGATTACATCTTGTGATTGTTGACATTGAAATTTTCAGGAAATGGTTAAAGAGAAGAAGCTGATCTTCTCATTCGATGCTTCAAAGAAGGCTCGTTTTGGTGTGCTTCCACGATATGCAAAGGACGACCTCCTAATCAGATGGTTTGAGCTTCCTAATTGCTTTATTTTCCATAATGGTATTGTTTGCATTTTATCACTGTTTACATTCCAAAACTTTCTTTTAGGAAATTAAGATTTACTATATACTTTCAGTTCACTAATAGCTGATAAATGTCGGTTTGCATATTCCCATTGCCAACATTCTCATTCAATCAGCTCTGGCAATGAGTTACTAACTTTATATGTTTTAATATGGTGATGTGGCTTATCAAGGACATCAAATATTAATAGCATCAACTTGTCAATGGACTTATGATACCAAAGTTTACTTGATGTTTATTTTTTTTATAATTTAATATTTGTTCTTTGTATATGAATGAGTTAGAACTTAACTGCTGTAATGATGTTTCGTTACTAGCCAATGCTTGGGAGGAGGAAGATGAAATTGTTCTGATTACTTGCCGCCTTGAGAATCCAGATCTGGACATGGTCAGTGGGGAGGTCAAAGAGAAGCTTGAAAATTTCTCAAATGAGCTGTGAGAACTCTGACCTCTTTTGCGAATTTGTACAATGATCCTTATACTGAAAGTTGTTTCTGATTCCTATTATTTAAATCAGGTATGAAATGAGGTTCAACATGAAAAGTGGTCTTGCAACACAAAAGAAATTATCAGCTTCTGCTGTTGATTTTCCTAGGGTGAATGAGTATTACACTGGCAGGTATGTATCTGTTATGGTGTTAGCAATCTGAAAACATGAAGAGGAAAATAGCCAAATAGGTACCTGTATGATCAAATTTCTCTATCTTACTCAAACTTTTACTTGTTTCTTGTCTTGTGTGAATTTAGAAAGCAAAGATATGTGTATGGAACCATTCTGGACAGCATTGCGAAAGTGACAGGGTTTGTGAAGTTTGATCTGCAAGCTGAACCAGAGGCAGGAAAAGCAAAGATTGAAGTTGGGGGGAATGTCGAAGGCCTCTTTGACTTGGGACCCGGTATATTTGGTTCAGAAGCTATATTTGTGCCTCGTAAGCCACCAGGGACCAATTCTGAAGAGGATGATGGCTACTTGATATTCTTTGTACATGATGAGAATACTGGGTATCATGTCTCTCCCTTTCTCTTGCTATATATCATCTTCATGTATCCTTCTTGCATCACTTGCCAACTGGATTTACTTTTATTTGAGTGAGCAGAAAATCATCAGTGAATGTGATTGATGCAAAGACAATGTCAGCCGATCCCGTTGCAGTTGTTGAATTACCCCACAGGGTTCCTTATGGGTTCCATGCTTTCTTTGTGACAGAGGTCAGTATGTATACCTTGCTTTGCTCTTAACATATTTCTAAGCTTCTGATCTTACTTCTACTTTTATTGTTTGAGCAGGAACAACTTCAAGAACAGGCAAAATAGAGACAAACCTCTCAAGGTTGAAGCTTCCTTTTCGCTTTACAAGATACAGTTACATTAATAACCCAAAATCTCGATGCCTATGGGCACGTTGTGAATCGCACAAGATGATAAAAAGGTTATATGCTTTGTGTTGTTGAACATTCAAGAACAATAGTCACTACGACAATGTGAATGCAGAATATATATTGGCATTAGAATATAAATGATATATCCGTAAGTTGGGATTTGATTGAATAAAACTTAAAATTTGCTCAATCATTGTCAAAGTCGAGTTTGAGTTTGAGCAGTTTCACTTACCAAGCAAGTTGAATTCAAACATTTTAATGTTTAATTCGAATAGCTTATGAATTTAATGGTAGATTTGATAATTTGTGTCATCGTATCATATTTTGCATAAGATATAATTTTAAATGCGATATGAATAATTTTGATATGAACGTGATATAAATACACAAATGACACAAATAATTTAAATATAAATATAATACATTTATAAGTATTACACGTAATACGATACGATTAATATATTTAAAATTAATTTATATTTAACTAATATGATACGATTAATATGATTATATATAAATAGTATGATTAATTATCAAATAATACGATACGACATGACATGATTGATATAATTATATACGAATAATATGATTAAATAAGATTAATTTATTTATTTAAATAAAAAATATCATTCTAATTAGTATTTAAATAAAAAATTATTTAAAAATTAAAATTTTATAATTTATTTAAATATCAAAATGATATAATAAATATAATTATTAATTTTTTAAATAAATTAAAATAATTTTTAAATTTTTTTATATTATGAACAATATTGTATCTTAAATATTTATTATAATTTGATATGAACACAACATAAATAATTTTATCTTAATCGTGTCAATATGATTAAGACACTATTACATTACATTTATATATAGTTTTTTTTGTGTCGCATCATTATGTCATATGTAAAATTATCAAATCTATCTAATGAAATTTTTATATTTTAATATTTTATTAAAAAAATTATTATTTTACTTATATATATATATGAATTCAAATTTAAATTTGAACATAAATAATTAAATTTTAAGTCTGAGCATAAAAATAAAATTTTTTATTTTAATAAATAAATCTAATCAAACGAATTTAAGTAATTTAATTTTTATTTTAAATTAAATTCAATCTTGAGTTTAAAATTTAAAATACGATTCAATCCAAATTGAATTTTGAGCAACTAAATGCAAATGAAATTAAACTTCTCACCGTTCGATTTAATAACACTCATAATTAAAACTAATTAGTAATAGTGTGGAATTTTAACTGTGTCCAACCATAGAGAAACGTGTTAATCTTTTTTTGGTATGAAACAGAAACAATCATAGAAAAACATCAACAGAATCAACAGCCAGTACAAGTTAGTTTTGTACTGCTACGTGGCACGGTTTCATTGGTAAATAGGGCACTGGTAAAAAAAATGATTTGGTGTAAATGATCTGTTTCATTGCTGAGTTTAAAGCCCGCACTGTCGGTGAAGTCCTCCTGCAGCGGGAGGAGCTCGTAGTTCCTCCGTCGCTTTCGTCTCTTGTGAGACATTTCTTTGCTTCCAGCTATTATTTATATACAGAAAGAATAAAACCCATTGGTATCCATTTTCTCAACTGACGAAAGAAGTAGGTGACAATGGAATCAGAAGGAGACATTGGGGTATGTATTGAAAGAAATATTACTGTTGCCAGTAATTTGCAGTTTGCTTCATTGTTTAGAAGATTGAAGATAAAAGAAAACTAAACCACTTGTATGTCTTATTTTAAAATCGCACCCCAATTAATCTAAGTACTTGCAAGGGGTCATTGGAGTAAACATTGTTGCTATGATTTCTCTACACTTTGATATGTGTTCTTACTACAGTTGGGCATGTTTCTTATGTTTAAATGTCTCCTTTTTATCGCTAAATACGTGACTTGTTACTCTCGGATCGATCAGGGCAAGCCTATGAAGAATCTGGGTGGCCATGTGTGCCAAATCTGTGGTGATAATGTTGGCAAAAATGTGGATGGTGATCCATTCATTGCTTGCGATGTGTGTGCATTTCCTGTCTGCAGGCCTTACTATGAACATGAAAGGAAGGATGGGAATCAGTCTTGCCCTCGATGCAAAACCAGATACAAGAGGCACAAAAGTGCTTTGAACATTAATGGCTCACTAGATATTCACATGGTTTTCAAAAGTTCCACAGATATATTACATTTTTTTAGAGTTTTTGTTGTTTTCAGGATTTTTTTTTTTATTAACACTGACTATTGAATATATTTTCATATTATTGTACTCAAATACCTTTCAATTTTGTAAATAATTTTCCAATTATATTTCTCACTCATTTTTTCTCCGGCTCCAGGTAGTCCTGCTATTCTTGGAGATCGAGAAGAGGATGATGATGCAGATGATAGTGCTAGTGATTTCAATTACTCTTCAGAAAACCAAAACCAGAAGCAGAAAATTGCGGAAAGAATGTTGAGCTGGCATGCAACATATGGTAGAGGGGAGGATGTTGGTGCTCCAAATTATGATAAAGAGGTTTCTCATGGCCACATTCCTCCCCTGCTAACTAATGGGCAGGAGGTAAGTTTATAAGCTGTGTATAAGCTATTGTCTTGCTGTGTAATTCTTCATGCATGGAATGATGGATTGGAATTTTGCTTTTCCCATTGACATATTGTAGGTTTCTGGTGAGTTATCGCTGCATCACCTGAGCGCATTTCAATGGCATCTGCTGGAGTTGCTGGTGGAAAATGTATGCATCGTCTTCCTTATGCAGCTGACATCAGTCAATTGCACAAATTGAAATTTATTATTCACATGATAGGCTCCCATCCCTAATTGATATAATTATTGAAACTTCCATGCAGCTAATATTAGGGTTGTGGATCCAGTGAGGGAGTTTGGTTCACCAGGACTAGGGAATGTAGCCTGGAAGGAGAGGGTTGACGGCTGGAAGATAAAGCAGGAGAAGAATGTTGTTCCTATGAGTACAGGCCAGGCTACTTCTGAAAGGGGTGCTGGAGATATTGATGCCAGCACTGATGTGCTTGTGGATGACTCTTTATTGTGCGTTCCATCTGATTGATTTCCAGAATTTTATGAGGTTATTTGTTCTTGTTAGTAGTACACAGCAAGTTAAAAAGTTTTAGAATCATGATTAGAATTCTCCAGTCCTTTGTCTAGGGTATTTCTAACTCCTGCAATGTAGAATATTTTTCTGAAATATAACCTGTTAGCTACCATTGTGAACCCGGCAAATGGGAGCTGAGTCCTGTTATTAATCTTTCTTGCCTAAGTTTAATTATCCATACTGTTAATTCTTAATTTGCAGGAATGATGAAGCCGGCAGCCTCTATCAAGGAAGGTTTCCATTCCTTCATCTAAAATAAACCCTCATCGGATGGTCATCGTTCTGCGGCTCATTATTCTCTGCATTTTCTTGCACTATCGAATAACAAACCCTGTTCCAAATGCTTATGCTCTGTGGTTGATTTCTGTGATATGTGAGGTTTGGTTTGCAATATCCTGGATATTGGACCAGTTTCCTAAATGGCTTCCTGTTAACCGTGAAACCTACCTTGAAAGGCTTGCTTTAAGGTAGGATGTTTCTTCCTGCCAATCTCATTAATCCTCGCTGAAATATTTTAAGCAGTTGTGCCATTTCAGTCCCTGTGTTTTATTCTTGTTTTTGTGATTTCAATTCCTTGTCTGTATAACAGATATGATCGTGAAGGAGAACCATCGCAATTAGCTGCTGTTGACATTTTTGTGAGTACCGTCGACCCATTAAAGGAGCCCCCACTTGTGACAGCCAACACTGTGCTATCAATACTTGCAGTTGACTACCTAGTTGACAAGGTCTCCTGCTATGTTTCATGATGGTGCTGCTACGTTAACATTTGAAGCACTCTCTGAGACATCGGAATTTGCCAGGAAATTGGATTCCTTTCTGCAAGAAATATAACATTGAGCCTCGGGCTCCAGAATGGTATTTCACACGGAAGATTGACTACCTGAGGGATAAAGTTCAACCATCATTCGTTAAACGTCGTAGAGCTATGAAGGTAAGGGTCTAGCTTAAGGTAATTGGTTGTTGTATTGCTCCATATTCGAACTTTCATCATGGTCACTTCTTTGCTTTTGTTGCAGAGAGAATATGAAGAATCTAAAGTTCGAATTAATGGGCTCGTTGCAAAGGCACAGAAAGTTCCTGAAGAAGGATGGATTATGCAGGACGGTACACCATGGCCTGGTAATAATACCAAAGACCATCCCGGAATGATCCAGGTAAGACTATTTTTGCAATCGTAGAGACACTACTCATGCATCTGCGGTGATCAGGATGGTATATGTTCCTTATTTTCTAGATTATATAAACTTCTATACGCTCAAAAGTGGACTGTGGAAACTCCTGAAGTGGTTTTATATGTTTTCCATGTGTCCATTTAGTGGTAGATAAGAAAGCTAATATTAATGGACACATGAGAGGAAAACAAACCTGCTCGTAAGTTTTTCCTTTCCATTTTCAGTGTGTTGGATATTCACCCAGCTATCTACACATGGTTTTCATTATTTCAAATGAGATTTATTGGGTTGCCACAACTATAAGTAATTTGCATCCATTATTAATGTCACTAAGGTTTTGTAAACTTTGTAAGTTTTCTTAGGCCAGAGTGGGGGCCTTGATGCTGAGGGGAATGAGCTGCCTAGGTTAGTTTATGTTTCTCGTGAAAAGCGTGCAGGCTTCCAACATCACAAGAAAGCTGGTGCTATGAATGCACTTGTAAGTGGCTTCTTAAATCTCACCTTATTTGTACTCTTTGTTATCTGTCTTATCTCAACCTATCTGTAAATGAATCTTTCTTGCAGGTTCGAGTGTCAGCTGTTCTTACTAATGGACCTTTCTTGTTGAATCTTGATTGTGATCACTACATAAATAATAGCAAGGCCTTAAGGGAAGCCATGTGTTTTCTGATGGATCCGAACCTTGGGAAGCAAGTTTGTTATGTTCAATTTCCACAAAGATTTGATGGTATTGATAGGAACGACCGATATGCCAACAGAAATACCGTTTTCTTTGATGTAAGCTCCGTATCTTTTACTAAGCAAATATTTGCACTTCTGTTAATGATATTTCTGATTGGTTTTTACAGTCATGTAGAATACCTGGTGTGTCGCAGTTTTTTATGGAATATACAGGATATGGAATTCTTTTTGACACAATTTCTTTACTTTGTGTAATTACAGATAAACTTGAGGGGTCTGGATGGCATTCAAGGACCTGTTTATGTCGGCGCAGGACGTGTCTTCAATAGAACAGCATTGTATGGATATGAACCTCCACTTAAGCCCAAACATAGAAAAGCAGGGGTGCTTTCTTGGCTTTGTGGAAGTTCTCGTAAGAAGAGCTCAAAATCAAGTAAAAAGGGATCAGACAAGAAGAAATCTGGCAAGCATGTTGATCCTACTGTGCCAATATTCAGTTTGGAGGATATAGAAAAGGGTGTTGAAGGTAAACTATATGCTATCATGTATGCTTGGTTTAGCGGTGAATATATTAATTAAATGCCTTTTTTAGCCTAATGAGGAAGAGTCTCTTCCATGTCCTCCCTTGTGCACTTGTGAAATCAGGTTCTGGATTTGATGATGAAAAGTCACTACTGATGTCGCAAATGAGCCTGGAGAAACGTTTTGGTCAGTCTGCTGTTTTTGTTGCCTCTACACTTCTGGGGAATGGTGGTGTCCCTCAGTCTGCAACACCGGAAACCCTTCTTAAGGAAGCAATTCATGTTATCAGCTGTGGATATGAGGACAAAACAGACTGGGGAAGTGAGGTAAGTTGCCCCTCCTCCCTTACCCCTTTTTGCATCGCACCCAATTCATGAAAATTGATTGCTGGATTTCCAGCGTATTGAGTTTATGTTAGCAACGTACTGAATTATGTAAAATTGTTTCTTTTTAGGCTTTAGAAGTGTTAGGTTAAAAAGCTCTTATCAATCAAATCAGTGATTGTAAAATAAAACAATCGATTAAGCATACAAAAAATAATAATTTAATATATTTTTTAATTCAATCGAAATCCAATCAATTTACATTTATGAAAAAAAAAATATTCATTGATTATAGAGAATTATAAATAAATATAAAATTAAATACTCACAATTAATATTAATAGATTCTTTCAATTTTTTTTAGTCATATGAAATATTATTAATCTAAATAAAAATATATTTATGTATATCCTTTTAATACAAACAAATATATATTAATATACACCAATACATCATATTTATGTAAATCATATCAGTTTCTTTTAGTCCATCCACAAATATTTAAATATATACATTTATAAAATATAAATCTCTAATAATCTTATAAGATGTCTATCAATTTTATAACTCTTATATTTTTATCTCATAAGTAATTTTATAAAGATTTCACTTATTTATAAACACACTAATTTATCTATTAAAACACATTTTTTTAAATTTTTTTTTTATAAATTTTTTATCTATCAAATAATATCTAACTAATTTTAACATGAGATATATTCTCCACGTAATAAACAAAAGGATTTAGAGTATAGTATAATAACCAATAAAATTGTTTCCCTTTCTGCTCGTAGATTAGGGACCGTCTGCATACTTGTAACTTGATTTTGAATTTTAGGAATTCAAATCAGTTCTGCATAGTTGGACAATTGCTTGCTTTTATTCTGTTTTAAATTTCAATCTTTGTTGCATGAGCAGGATTATCTCTTATCCTCTGTGAATGTATTTTCATTTCATCTTCTCAATTTGTTTTCCCTTTCATCTGCCAACACTGGAGTTAAATTTTCATGTTTTCTTTTGCCCACAGATTGGATGGATCTATGGTTCTGTTACAGAAGTTATTCTTACAGGATTCAAAATGCATGCCCGCGGTCGGCGGTCAATTTACTGCATGCCAAAGCGCCCAGCCTTTAAAGGTTCTGCTCCTATTAATCCTTTCAGACGTCTACACCAAGTGCTTCGATGGGCTCTTGGTTCTGTGGAAATCCTTTTCAGTAGGCATTACCCTATCTGGTACGGTTTTTCTGGTAGGCTGAAATGGCTCGAACGGTTTGCTTATATTAACACTACCATCTACCCAGTTACAGCTATTCCTCTTCTCATGTATTGCACACTACCAGCTGTCTGTCTGCTCACTAACAAGTTCATTATCCCACAGGTATAGCCTTCTCTATATAATCCTTTTTCTTTTCCATATATGCACATATACCTCACCTTGTCTAACCTAAATTTGTTGCCCATCCTCACTTCAGTGGCCAAAAAATTTGTTGCCTATCTGGCGTTTCCCATTTTTAATCATGTCTAGAAAAAGGTGCATGTTTACATACTTTTTATTCTTTTTTTTTTTTTGGTTTGCTTTGATTGCAGATTAGTAATATTGCTAGTATATGGTTTATATCCCTCTTTCTTTCCATCTTTGCAACTGGTATTTTGGAAATGAGGTGGAGTGGTGTTGGAATTGATGAGTGGTGGAGAAATGAACAGTTTTGGGTTGTTGGTGGTGTGTCATCACATCTTTTTGCTGTTTTCCAAGGGCTTCTCAAAGTACTTGCTGGCATTAACACTAACTTCACTGTCACTTCAAAAGCATCAGATGAAGATGGGGATTTTACCAAGCTTTACATGTTCAAATGGACAACCCTTCTCATTCCACCAACTACTCTCCTCATAATAAACTTGGTGGGGGTTGTTGCAGGAATCTACTACGCCATCAACAGTGGCTATCAATCATGGGGTCCACTCTTTGGTAAGCTGTTCTTTGCCTTCTGGGTGATCATCCATCTCTACCCCTTCCTGAAAGGGTTGATCGGGCGCCAAAACCGTACGCCCACCATTGTTGTGGTATGGTCAATTCTGCTTGCCTCCATTTTCTCTTTGTTGTGGGTGCGGATCGATCCCTTTACCACTAGAGTTACTGGGCCGGATGTAGAACAGTGTGGAATGAACTGGTTCAGAGGGATTAATGAACGTTTTGTTTTCGTCTCACCAAGCTGCTGCAATTGCAAATGCCAAAGGTGGGGAATTACGTTGCTCTTGTTTTTTATGTTTGTCAGGCAATTCACATCATGTGCTGAATATAGGTTGTATCATATCATGTTGTTTTACCAGGATTTTAATGCATAATATTTGGGAAAATACTATTTATTCGGGTCGATATGACATCTTTTTTTGGCTGTCATTCAAAAAAACTTGATATATGTAGTCGCTAAAAACAGACAAAAGTGGAAAATTAGGTAGAAATAAAAAGCTTAAAATACGATACTAGTAAATATATATAGCTTTTAATATGTAGAAATTTAGGGATGTGATCGAAGTTAAATTTGTTTAAGGGTCAAGTTATTCATTTAAATTCGAAAATTAATTCAAATTTTGAGAAGATTTAAATAAAAATTTAACTTGTTAAACGATCTTCTTGAAAGGCTCAATAGGTTGCTCATCCCACTATAAAACCCTGGAACCAGAGTAGTTTATCAAAGCCCAGATGGGCCAAATCAAGTTATCCGATGGCCCTTAATTCTGAACAAGAAAAATAAAAAAAAAAAAAAATAGAAAGTTGTGGAGTAGAAAGAGTGATAATAACATATTAGATTTATTTTGCAATTTCGGATACATGATGATGTAGACCAAGACATTTAAGATGAAGAGAAAGGCAGGCATAAAACCAGCTTCTGTTCTCTTCTAACAAAAGGGGTAAGTAAGAAGAAACTAAAAATCTAAAAAGTGGCAAGAAACGAACCACCCACCTAGCAAGCAACACGACATCATTAAAATACTTGCACAGAGCCGAAATTTTAAGAAAACAAGAATGACTATGTCTCATGGATCATAAATTTCTTCAAGTTACAAATCCTATGGCATCGATGGACCTCTTAGGAAGCTCCAAGGTCCTGTACCAGTCCCTATCCTGCATGTATAGCAGCAGCACTTTCAATCAACTTGACAGCACAGAAATATATATATTTCTTCAAGAACTTGAAATGATGGTAACATGATATGTATGGAATAGGAAGTGAGAAGGTTTTTACCTCCAAATGCCAGCAATGGCGCGAAGAGCCATGTAAATGGTTAGTGCAACCCAGATTCCTATAAAACCTTTGCTTTTGGAGAAAAGGAATAATGATGCAATGCTTGCTCCAGCTACCAGTACCATGGAGTAAGCTGTGAATGCAAAGTCAGATGCTCCAAAGTTGACGCCATCCAAAACGAAAGCTAATGAGTTGATTGGCTGTGTGGCTGCTACAAACTGATGGGTGGAGGGAGAGAAATTCAGTTAAGATCATACAGGGAAATCATAACACAGTTATATTTTGAGCTTGTCCGATTCATGAATAACAATTACCGGTACTCCTATACAGATCAGGTGCAGAACACTAGCATCTTTGGAGAAGATTCCTGACCCAAAATACAAACCAACTCCAACAACAACAGCAAGCCCCACACCAAGCACCAAACTCATCTGCAAACTCATCAAACCTTTCAAGAATTAGAGCTCTGATAATTTTAGTAAATTGCCCACTTTGGGATATGGAGGTGATTAATTACCTGCAATACCCTAGATGCCGCAGCTTTCACCTTCTTATAGTCCTTCTCAGCAAATGCACAAGCAAGAATTGCCTAAATATGAGCCAGGACAATATTACAGATGGGTTAATCTACCAGTTAACCATGGCTTTCACATTCTATGAATTACAAGAAAACTGTTCCATACTCTTTTTTTAACAAAAAAATGGAAAAGATTTTACCTGTCCAGCAACAGCTAAACCATCAGCAAGAAGAGATGATGTCATCCAGACTTGTAAGCAGATTTGAAATGCGGCCATAGGTGTTGAACCAAGCCGAGCAGCCATTGATGCTGCCAATGTCACACAGAATGTGACTGCAATTACTCTTGCTAATAACAGAAAACCTGTGGCCATGCTTGATCAGTAATGTTAGACCAAAAGTAACTTTAACAGAAATGAGAATAGTTGAAGTTTAGGCAGCATAACCATGTTTAGAAAAAACTAAACTATGATAAAAGTTTTAATAACTAATCTCCTTACCGTTTTTAAGAAATCTTCCAAATTGCAGGTCTTTAATATGTGGAGGTAAAAGATTAACTTGTTTCATCAATCGCCACAATAGGATCAGAGTAATCAAATACCTGCAATGATCATTAGCCAACGGAAATTTAATGGTGAGCAATGCTTGCCACAGCAATGGACTTAAAGAACAGGATTGTCGAATGAGAGCAAAGAAAACGTTACTTACTGAGAAAGAACATGTGCTAAGGCTGCACCACTGACACCTAGTCGTAAGGCAAAGATAAATATTGGATCCAAAATGATATTAGTTAGATCTCCTGCAACTGTTGTAGCAAGAAAAAAGAACTGGGTAAGGTATAACGGTTGTAGTATATCACAAGTAGCTGTGACAGTTATAAAGGTTCAAGATGAAACCTCTGCCTACCAGTAGCATATAAAGGTGTTTTTGTATCCTTAAACCCTCGGAAAACCCCTTGCATGGCCAGAGAGAGAAGAACAGCAGGAGCTCCTAGTGACCTCAAGGTCAAGTACTTTACTGCTGGGTTTAGCATAGGGGAATTCTGTTCAATAAAATTGGATTCAGTTAGTTCCCATTTCAAGCATCATTTAGATATTTCTTTGTAACAGCTCATTCCAAATAGAACAATTCAGGGTATATAAGGGTGATAACTGGCAAAAAATGAGCTAGACAGACACATTTGAAAGCTAAGAGTATTAGTGATGCTGACTGACACTTACAGGTTTGACACCCATAACACCCAGGAGAGTTTTTGCCCCAAATACAAGGAATATAGCTTGCAGCAGACCAAGCATTGAGCCAAGAATCAATGCTGTTGATGCTGAAGGGATATGTCTTTTGCCCTTTTTCACTTCGGTATTTTCGGTTTTGCTAGCAATTGGCGGCTTACATGAACTTGTGTTTGAACCTGACAAATAAATCACCAATCAAATTGTCTAATTAAATGCATCATCTATTCTCTAGCTCTAGCTTTTAACATATCAGAGAGAGGGAGAATATACCATCATCTGGCTCTTTCATATCAGTATTTGTGGCTGCACCTTTTTCCAAGTTCTCAGCCACTACATCTTCTGGTGTCAACTCTTTATTTTCATTGTTTTTATGTTCACTCTTTTCCAAATCCTCACATTTGTCCTCTTCGTAGCTAGTTTTTCGAAGAGTATCTTCTTCAGCAACAAAAGAAGTCGTTATGCTAACCAGAGGGAAAATGGTAATCCTTGATGCTTGATTGAATATGGCGATGGAAACTCCTACAGCAGCTAGCTCCACCGGTCCTACACATATAAGACCATAAAATTTGCGTAAAGAGAATGATCTATATAAAGAATATTATAGGAAGATCAATGAAGTAGATCTAGCACAGATAGAAGGTTAGAACTTTGAACATGGCACATGTTGCACCTGTCCATCTAGAGATGAGAGCAGACCTATACGGCCAATGAATGCCGTGTCAATCAGAGAAGCGATGGGATCAGCAGCTAAGGCCAAAGCAGCAGGGAATGCGATGCTTAGTATCTCCCGGCCAAGTGAGTCCATTTTGAAAACAAGTCTAGCCAAATAACATGAAAAGGTTTCTCTCTTGAGATTTCAGCAATCATTCGTTGAAACACTACAACGAGACTACAATTACAGAAATGCGAAAGCAGCAAGCTGATACTGTACCTTGCATCTTTGAAGAGGACAAAAACTGGCATTCCCCACAGGCTCCACTTGCTCTCAGGCTGCTGCATAATACCATTCTCAGCCATGATACTCAGTGCCAATCAACCACAAGTTTAAGCTGTTATGGTGCCACTGTCAATTTTCTGCAGAGTGCATGGCATTTGGTAATGTAAGAGGTAGTAAAATCAAATGTCGGTGACCAGACATCTCAGTTCAAGAGATATATATCCTACCACTAGCAAAATGAGATGGTCACAAATATCCAAAAAAACCATGCCTTAAGGCTAATTGTGTAGTATTAAATGGACTGTACTCTTTTTTTTTGGTTTTCTGATAGCTTTCGGCAGCATTGGAACTGATCGAAAAAGTCACCTGGACACATATTATAAAGTTGCATCGACGATTTCAAAGTACCTAAAAAAAAACAATACTACAAGAATTTGTATCGCAATCCATGGCCCCATGCCATGCAACAATATCTTATAACCAGAGTCTACAATTGACGCACGACCTAACTCACATTCTCTCCCATTAATTTATCAGACTCCTTGTCCTTGCCTCCATGAATCTTCCTACAGAGGAAAATTCTTCTCCTTTTCTGCCTCAGATAGCACTCAAAAACCAACTAAAATATGCATTTTGGAGCCATGCAATCTTGAATCTCAACCTACTAGAAACTGCAAGAAGTTTACCGTCCATTCCCGACAAAAAGAAGGTAGATTTCTTAAAGAAGACGACACCAACGAACATGATCAGTTTGTCCTAAAAAGGACATAATTAGCTTGAGATTCGTACCACTAGACCGGTTTGATAAAGTTGAAAAAAAACAAAAGTATCATCAGTTGTGAATAAACCTGTTCTGTGTATATCTAGGCCAGGTAATGCAAAATGTGTACATAAATAACAAGGGAAAAACTGATAAACAGACAAAGGGAGTTTCGTAATCAATTCAAACATGTTCCATTGTTGTAAGATTCATGCCCAAATAATTATGTAACTAACTACTTCATCAAGTTTTCTTTTTTTTTTTTTATCATGGTACTACTTAATTTCTTTGACTCTTCCAGGGATTGATTATGATATCATATATTTGTTCCAACAAATTTAAGTACATATTATTATGATAATTAACTCTGTGATTTGCCTAATGGAATTTAAATTAATGAAAATGTTTTCCTCCGAATATATATACTTATGTTGTTTGTTCTCCCCCAAGTTTGTGGGTCAGTGGGTGCCTTTTGGGGGTGCAAAGCCCACATATTTGGACAATCTGAGAACAACAAACGAAAGAAAAGAGAGAAGGGGTTAAGGCCAAGTGAATGGACGGTAAAAGATTAAGGTTACGGCCTGATGCTATTGTAAAGCCCAAATAAAAGAACTATAAATAAATTGCTTTTTCCAATAAGGAGTGTAAACATTTGTAAGTGAAGCCGGTGTGGTTAAGATAAAATTTAAATTCGATTCGATTATTATTGAGTTAAGTTTATATTTGAGTAATTTAATTTATTGAATGAATCGAGTTCGATCATCTTAATATCCAATTTAAGTAGTTTATGAATTTAATCGAACTTTTAATTTTAATATATTTTTATTATTTTAATTAAAAATATTATTTTACCTTTATGTGTGTATATATATATATCAATTCGAGCTCAAACTCAAGTTCAAACATATAATCAAGCTTGAAATCGAGTTTATTTTTATTAAACAAACATAATCAAGTGAGTTCAAATAATTTAATTTTTATCTCAAATCAAGCTTAAACTTAAAAATTAAAACTCAATTGAACTTGAACCGATTTTGAAACAACGAATTTTGAGTCAAACTTGAACTCAAGATTTTTATTATATCAACTCAGCTCGACTCAATTATATCTTTATATTCAATCATTGTCAAAAGCAAATAATTAACAACAAACAAAAGGAGTAACAACTAACAAAACATATAAGATATAGATGGGAATAATTAGCCGTCCATGCATTTTATTGCACAGCGAAGCTGAAATGCTATTTGATTTACACATAATTGGAAGCACATTACAAAACAAAGATTTTCTCCTGAAATATATATTGTAGATAAATGTTCGTACTTGCATGTATGCAACATGTAACAAGTAAAGCATGCATATGCAAGCCTAGGTGTGTATGAGAGAAGAATGAACAGACCGATGGTTGTTGCTTTTACAAAAGTGTTTCAAGCATAGCGCAAAGGAAAGAGAAAAGAATCCATAAAATAAATGAAAAAAGAGAATGGTTCACAATTGGAAACAATGAAGTAATTAAAAGGCATTCAAGGGATGGAACTTACAATGATAATTAAGTTGATCGAAGGAAGTCGATAACGTTGCCTTAATTTATTCGATTTGCCAAGAATCCTAAGTTCTTTTCACCAACTTAATTTGCATTGGCTTGCTTGCCAAACCTATGCCTCGCTTTGCCTTTATATACCCTTTTGAGACTCCACCGAATAGCTTATGCATGTCTGAAAGAAAGATCATCGAGCCACTTTTGATCATATCAGGACAAATTAGAAGCTTCAATGGAAGCAAAAAGAATAATAGTACTACTATATATAATAAAGTAGCACCACCAATATGAACTCCACATGAGAGCAATACAACTGACGATTTCATAAAAATTGTATGAAAGTGGTTGCTATGGTATTTGAATTTCTGAAAGTTGGGATGCCACCAGCCACGATTAATCAAAAACTTTAAGAAATATTATATCATACATTGGCCTACAAGTTTAAGTGCTTTTATTTGGTAGATTCAACTTATGCAAATGTGGGCTACGTATGAAACCCAATACCAAAAGCTTGGCAAATCACTTTAACCATTTCAGACCTAATTTTTTCTGGTTTAGCCATTAGAGTATATAAGGATAAAAAATATCAAAATTTGTTCTCTCACTGCAATAATAACAGTAAAATTAATACCCTAACTTTCCACTCAATTACACTAACATATATATATGTTGCTTTTTTACCATTTACTTGTAATTTTTCTTAAAAATTAATGAAGAATACAGCACTAAACAGGAAAATGTATACTTTTTGGTTAATATATATATATATATATATTTATATATATATATATAGTGCTTTGTCCGTTCAGCTGTCTAGTCCTTGTGAAGAGGAGGGGAGGCATGGGAAACGTACCCTCCCAAGTACATTTGTTAATTTCAACAGATCTTTGAGAGCAAAGACTAGATTTTTTTTAAACTCTACAACAAATTGAAATGGAGGGTCCCAATATCGTCATATTTGCATGTGATGACGATAAGTTAATTTTGCAGTTCCCTTTATTTTTTTTTTTCTCGGATTACTTGTATTATATATGATAATAATGCAAATGACATTCATTTTGTTTTTTGTTGAATTTCGTTTTGCAACACAAAGCATATTGCTAGCATATTTATCTCCTTATCATCAAGTTATTAGTTGCTGCCACATTTGGGGTTGGCCTGAGAAATGAATTGACGGAAATAAAAAATATGGTCTGTGATAATATGCAACAAGATAGCTATAATAATTGTAATGGGGAAAACACTTTCGTGTGGAAACCATAAATATCTCCACGCGTAAGTTGATAAAGTAATACCAAGAGGATTGGATTTCCACTACTTATTCCCCCTGTTGAAGATGATGAAAAGAAATTAAGCAAGCTAGAGTAATACTCCACTTGTCCAAAGGTGTTTGTAATAAGTTTTAACCGAAATAATTAATTAAATCGATTTAATTTAGTTAATTAATTAGTTATCGAAATTGATTTTATAAAATTTTTAATTTTTAATTAATTTAATTTAAAAATCAAATTAATCAAAATTTTAACCAAAATATTAATAAAATGCAATACTTTATGTGAATTTCGGAATCCTATAGACTATTGAGTCTTTAAAAGCAAGTTACACCTCAAGCCATTAGGCTTGCCTGGTTGTCGACTTGTCGCGCATCATTGTCCCCTCCAACCCTCCGTCCATTGGGCTTTTGGGTGAGGGGGCAAAAATGACCTCCTGTGATCTCATCGGTCGTCATTTGCTCAAAAGCGAGTCCTTGAGAATGATAGCATCGTAACCGTCGATGGTAAAACTTCCTACATGCCTTGTCTCATATATTAAATTAAAATCATATGAAATTGTTCATTTCATTTCAAGTTATTACAATTTTTTTTTAAATATTTTTGTTAAATAATTTTATTTAATTTATTTCACATATAAAAAAATAAAAATTTAAAATATAATTTAATTTAATGTTTTTTTGCATTTGGTTAATAAAAAAAATTAATTTTTGATAAGTTAATTTTAAAAATTAAAAATTTGAATTCGATTAATGAAAATAAAATGACATAATTCGATTAATTCGATTTTATTTAATTTAATTCAAAATTAAGCAAATCAATCGAATAAATAGCTTCACACTTATCTGTCCTCTGGTTTTCTTTGCATTATAAAAACAAATTAATTAATAATTAATAGTTTGTTAATACCATTAAATAATCTTCAACTTTGAATGGAGGTTTTGTTTGAAAGAGATAGGAAGGGAATCTGATCATCGACCAATAATAAGTATTTTATATGTTCATTATGCATTTAGACGTACATACATAAGCAGTGTTGATTAACAACCAAAGGCATATCGAGATTATCAAATGAAGCAGACCAATTAATATGCAAATCCACACTTTTTCTCCAAATGTGTAATATGATTATGTGATGATATTCATTGATATAAGTGCTTGCCTCGCAAAGTACCATTAGATTCTTTTAGAAACAAACAAAACAAAAAGTTAATGTAAATTTTAATTCTCTAAGTGCTACCGTAGTGCTTGGAGGTGCCTCTTAAGACTTCGCTGGGTATTTTTAATTTCTTTAAAATAATATTGTATGCTTAGTATTTTAATATGTAGCCATTTTCTATTGAAAAATAATTAAATTCCAAAAGATATGCTATGCCCTTGTTAGTTCAGATTTGTTTACTTTTCCAATATCAAAATTTGACATGAAGATTTATATTCAATTTAAAAAAATATTGTCTGTTTTGATTTAAAGATCTTATCATCTTTTCTTATAAAAAAATGTCTTACAAATTTATGTTTAGATCTCCATATATATACCATATCATATCTTAAGAGCATCACAATCTTCTCCGTTAAAATTTAATGTTCTCGTCAAGCCCAATACAAAACAAACACAAAATTAGAGAATTATTCAAAATATTGAGATTTTAGAAGTGATTCCCATCGTTTAACACTTAACTCTTGTCTAATTTGTGACCGCTTTAATATTATTTTTGAAGACCTATACCTAATATGAAAGGTATTGTTTATTATAATCTGATAATCTTATGATTTTATCTTATTAAAGACACCTCATAAGTTCAAATTTAAATGTCCATATATATATGTATATATCATATTATATCATATTATTATATTCTTCCAATACGAGAGTGGAGACATCACACTCAAACACAACACAAACATCATTTTCAGTTAATACTATATAATGAAAATGTTGCCAGCTATAACTATATTATATTTATATATATATATATATATATATCTTCTTTCCCACAAATAAATTACTTAAAAGGTTACTACTTTATAAGGAGGAGTTGATATCATGATGGACATTTTGTTATTAAAAGGAACACAATTAGTCTGTATATTTTTATTGATTTTGCTATGGTATTGACAGAAGGATTCTTATTAGATAATGTATAATTGTAGGGAAGATAAAAGAGGCATTAACCCTTCAACCAATCCCACTATTTCTGAGAATTTTAAGCAATCTCCAACGATCTAGCCGTACATATGTTTCAATGCTTTTGATAAGATTAGATTTGCTTTGGGGACCAAATATAAACGTCAGAGTGCATGCCTAGCTATATAAATCTTTCCTTCATTCATATGCGTTTTCATTAATATATAGAATACTCTAACTATCCCCTTTGTTGGTGGCAAAAAGCTGTTCGGTATTTGATCATGCGTCTTCCAAATATATATACAATTACTACTTGCATGAATAAATAAGCCCCCATATTTGTTGGTGCTCATCTTACCCTACGTGGTCCAAAGTTTTTAGATATGAAATTTCTGAATTTGGAAAGATGTAGCAAAACTATCCTTTAAGAAGGATTTTTCAAGAGTAATTACAAGCTATATATAGCCTTAAATAATAGTTAAAAGTTTAATGGTTTTAAATTTAAATTCGGAAATCGACACTCATCACAATTTCATATTTAGAAAAAAAATTTATTCACTTAAATTTTGGATAGTTTAATTAATCAATTTATAAGAAGGAAATAATTTCTTTCGCTACGGCTCCGGTGGGTTCCCTTAACCAAGCCACTGCCTATGAGTCGCCGGCTCATTCTTCAACAGGCACGCGGTCAGAGCCCTGGTCTCCTCCCACTGCTTGGGAGCTTACGGTTTCATGTTCTATTTCACTCCCCGACGGGGGTTCTTTTCACCCTTCCCTCACGGTACTACTTAAGTGACATGATTTTAACATTATTGCTTGAGGCTTTCCAAAGATTGACGAATTTGATCGAGAGATTGAACCAAAGAATTTGTAGTTTCATCATTTCTCTTAAATTCAACAAGTACATAAAGAACTGTGGTTTACATGAGAAATCATATGGGAGAATATAGTATTTTGTCATCAAAATTTTTTATAGACATTCTTTTCTTAATTTTACTGATACTTACATGCCAATCCAAGCATATAGATAGTTTTAGCACCATTAACATAGTATAATTATTAATTGTTATCAAAAGATCGTTCAAAACGCTGAAAAGGGTTATAATATTCTCTTCCATTTCCCCTTTTTTTTTAATTTTTTTATTCAAGCTGCTGCAGGCAGACATCGATCTATGAAGCAGTTATTGTGCAGGTGCTGTTATATTTTTGGGTTCGGTGCTTCTTATCATATTTGCTATCAAGGACTAGTAAGCATTCCGCTTGGTGGTGGAACCTAGGCTTGATAAGGTTCCACACAACTCGAAAATTGGAGCTCAGTTTCAAACGAATCACTAGAGGCAATCCCATTCCCGAATCTAGCAAGTCCTGCATGCTTCTGCCAGCGCCATACATTGGTTTATTCCTTGTTCCAGCGTGTAACTCAAACATTGATGAACCATAGCTCCGGGCATATAGTTTTGGTCCCTGCAAAGCATGAAATGTAGAGACTACCATTTAAAAATCAATTGCCTTGATGCTTTACCACTAGTTAGTATTAAAACGACCAGACTTACATGTGACATCGCAAAAGGGAGAAGGCCAAAGGATATGTCCATCATTGGAGGGTTGATGTGGAGACCGAAGAGCTTTGATTTGTTTTCTATGAGCAAGTGGATGGAACAGTTGAAGGTCAGAATCTTGGTCGTAACACCGGAGGCATCCACTCCTTCTCCTAGTCCGAATTGGCGAACTCCTGCCACCTGAAATACAAGCACCATTATGCAAAATAAGATCATGTTTGATACATAAGATAATAGATAACAATAAGATAACAATAATCTTATATTATATTTGACTTGTATCTAAAGAAAAAAATAAGATTATAAGAAAAATTAATCTTCTCAAAATGAAGAGTAATAATTCATGAGATGGAGCTTATATGTCCTACATACTATTAAAAATTACATCAATAATTCAAATTATATAAACTTTAAAAAATGATCATTTTGGTTAATAAATAAATTATTTTATCCTAATTTTTATACACTTCAAACACAAGATAAGATGACATAATCTAATTTTATTAATAATATATCTTATCTTATTTTATTATAATTTTATGTACTAAATATATCCTAAACATACTATTTTATTGGAGTTTACTCGAAATAGATTAGAGAATTTCAATCCTAATATGTTCAAAGGCCTTATGCTCCAAAAGACCAACACATCTTGCAACTAGAAAGTTCAAAGCAAAATCTTAATAAAGGTGTTCAATGATTGGGCTTAAAGCTTGGTTCCAGGCTAGGGGGCAAGTGTTTCACCCATGTATTCAAAGATAAATGTAAACTTTTGGTTTCTAGCCGGGTCTCTATATTCTAGTCATCATTGTTGCAATAGTTAGACCTAACCCATTGGTCTTTGGGATATAGATACTAGCAGCCCACCATGTTACAGCCTATTTGGAATAGTTGGGCCAAGCAAAATTGACAATTCACTATAGCCTATGCATATGCACAATGAAAAAGAAGAAAAAGAAAACAGCACTATGAACCGAAAGTTGCCAGTCAAGATTTCTTTTTTTAAGAGTTTCATGTAATACAAGTTTCTTGTAAAATTATGCACTCAAAATGTTTCCTACTCTTCTAATAATGGGGCATAGTTTCTTTCTGGTCTCTTCATTTATAACAAAAGGTTGGTAAGACTGTAACTCTCATTATGTTCCAGTGCCAGCAATACTATCAACTCAATGAAGTAATTATACACTGTAAGACTAAGTATTGGAGCATAACAGAAATTAAAGATATGGAGGAGTAGGAGAGACCGATGACACATACCTTAATAGAAATCTTAGGAGGTGGTGGTTTTGTAGCAATGTAGAAGACAAGCAATGCTACTCCCAAGCTCAACACAAGCCTCCAACATATTTGTAAAGAAATCCAGGCGCAAGAACTAGACCTTCTAAAAGAACAATACCTCCACCACCACCCTCCTTTCTTCCCGTAAGACCATTCTTCTTCATCGGACACCTGATCATCATCATCATCACCAACCCCATGGTCAATAATGATGAGACGGTTGACGCCTCGTTTCTGATCATCAGATCCAAGTCCACCAATGTTCTTTTTCTCATGCAAAAAGGAGTTGTTTGATCCACGAGAGGATGAGTAACGCGAAAGGGTGAATCTAGAAACGTCAGGGTTCTTGTTGAGAAAGGTTGCTTCAGATCGAGTGGGGGAGTGGAAATGGAAAGCAGATTGATCTTCTATGTTGGTGGTGTTGTTGCGGATATCAGCGCTGTTTGCATGGGAGATGGTGGAAGGGCTTTGCACGTAGTAAGCACATGGGTAGGAGTGGAACATCAAGGCTTCTTGGTCTTCATGATTGGTACTGTTTTCCATTCCCTGAATTACAGATAAAGCGGACATAGAAACACTAACAGAGAGATTCAGAATGTGAATGTGAGAGAGATAATTTCTGAGCAGCTCTGACCCCCTGGCCCTGGGTTTTGGTTTTCGTTCGAGGGTTTTTAAATACCAAAAAACTTTGCTTCGTGAAGCAGACATACACATATTGGCCTCAGCTCCTAATTTTTTGTAATTGCAATTATGTTTTTTTTTCCCTTTTTTCATTATTAAAAAATTAAAATATAATCTGATAGGAACATTTTAAGATTCAAAAGGGACCTTTTATCTCAAGTATAAGTCATCTATCAAATTAAGGTAATTTATTTAATTTAAATGAATTAATGTGTCAAGTAAATTTGAATTCTGAAATTATATTATCAATTCGATCACTTCAATTAACTACTTATTTATTTATAAAAAAATTGATTTGTTATTTTTCGATTGAATTGTTAATTGTCAACTTAGCTTGGGTTTACAACTTCAACCCTAATTTCGTTACTTGAAATTTAAATCATCTAGGCCCAATGCTCCTATTAAATCAAATATAAATATCTCTTTTTAGGTATTTTTAAATCAATTGAAAAACTCTAATTTACACACTTATTTTCTAACTTTTCCTCTTTCTCACTTTCTAATCAAATGTTGATCTAAACATCAGAACACAGAAACAACTCCGACCTTTATTATTAATCAACCTCCTTCCCTTGTGTTTTTAAATTTTTGCAATGACAGTTCGGCATCAACATAACCAATGTTTAATCACGAGTTCAAAACTAACATAAAGTAAGGTTTTTAATTCAAATCTTCATCTCTTATTATAAAAAGGAATTTGAAATTTAATGAACTTTTCATACAAGCAATTAACAACAACAACAAATGGTCAATGGGAGATTCGGTCCGAAAAAGAAAAATTGGTCCGAAAGTCACGGGAGAGTGTAGTCTCGTCTCGTCTCGTCCTAGCTAGGTAGGCTAGCCTTGGATTTGCTTTACACCGAATTGTCTAATCTTTTTGCATCCTAGGAATGATAGCAAAGTAAGCATGCTTTGGCACTGCCTTTTTTTTTCCCTTAATTTGAACATCGTAATTTCCTTTTCAATTCAATGACAAAAGAAAAAGATAGGCTATAGTGGAATCGATCTTAGCCACAGCTGAGAGAGGAAAGAAACAATATTTTTAAATCTAATAGAGTGAATCAACACTCAGTGCACACTCATAATGACAATACTGGTCTATAACTATAATGATGTGTGCTCATTCATTTGCACTCCGACCAGGTAATTAATCACCTACGCTTTTCCTATAAGTTTTATATATATATATATATATAATATAAACTTTTCATATATACTATTAAGAGCATTTTATAATTCAAAAGATAAGATAAATTTTTCACCTTAAAATATAAGTCATCTATCAAATAAAAATAATTTAATTAATTTAATTAAATTGATATGTCGAATCAATTTAAAATTTTGAACTCGACATCAACTTGATCATTTTAATTGATTATCTGATAACACATAAAAATACTGATTTATCACCTCGAACAAAGTTGTTAACTGCCAGCTCAACCCGGATCAATAACGACTATAACCCTGCTACTTAGACCTCGGGCCACCTAGGCTCATAGACTTCATTACATAGATAGACTAACTAGAACTTGAACTTATCATATATGTTCTTTGATTTCCTCTCCTTCCCACTTTCTTACGAGCACAAAAGCCAAAGAAACCTTCAACATTTATTATTAACTGACCTCTCTCCCTTGTGTTTTCAGGATATTACATTCGCAAATAACTGGACACCAACACGTACATAAAATTTTTTCTAATAAATTTTTATATTTGAGTATTTGAATATATATTATATTTGCATATAATTATTTTAAATGATATTTTTGGATGTAATTTATCTAAATTATTTTGGATAGAAAATGAAATTGTTAAGGGAAAAAAAAAAAAGAAAGAAGAATCACACGAGAAAGTAAGAAAAACTAAAAAAAAAAAAACGAAAATTCAGTTGCAAACCTAATAAAATGCAATCCATGTTTGTTTGCATTGATCAACAAAATTCGCCTACATAAATGGAAGACAGAGAGATTAATGTAATGAATATTGGCTTACTTTTGAATAAAGGGATGATGAATTGTTATACAAGGGTTGCCGTGTAGAGTCATGATGGAAGAATTATAATATATAGTGAGAGCATTGATAAATATATAATCGTAATGGCTATGGGGGCAGCTTTTGCTTTTATGCCAAGACAGACATGATGAATTGCCATTTGCCCCGTTCTCACCATCATCATCACCAAATGCATTTCTTTTCTTCTTCAAAGATGCTACATCTCAATTTCTCAGAGACATATATGGGGGTTGCTGTCCTGTAAATTTTAGGATTCCTACTTGAGAAAGGGCCACCACCCTATGATAACAAATGAAAAAAACCACTGTTCTGTCCAATTTCATTATACAAAACGAGCCCAAAGGGCTTCATCAAATAAATGAATCCTATCTGGGCCATTTTACCCAACCTTACTTTCAATTTTGAGGCTTTGTTTCATATACTGGCCCAACAAAGTTGTTTTACTTAAAACTTTTGAAGAATCAAAAGCTTAATTTGAGTCAATTATCTAGTTTTAATTACTAGCTAAATTTGTCAAGTCAAGCCCTTAGCCTGTAATCTTTGTTGTGTAAACTTGTAGTTATCCCAATACAACATCCGCATATATAAAAACCAGGAAGCAACTTTCTGTATAGAATTTGTACGTTAAAGAAATTAAAACTACAATTAATTCAACAACTATAATCTTTATTTTGACTCTTTTTTTTTTCTGTATCTCTGTTCACATTTCTCTTCGAAAGGAACAACAATGAAATACATACGAGCAAGATATCTAAGGCTGTGGTAATCTCCAAGTTTTTATATTTATTCCTGGACGTAAACAATTATGGATCATATGAAGCACCAATTAAGAAAAGAGGGGAAAAAACGATGATTCTGAGATGGACAGGAGAAATATTTCAGCTAAAGGGGAGGCTTTAAGTATAATTTTGGTGATGTTGAAAAAGAATATCTACCCATAATTTCCAATATATGGCTTTGGGTAGATATGAAAGATTGAGGGCTAAGTGTATGCAGTTATTCAACTTGGAATTGAAGGAAAGGAAAGGAAGATATATTATCCATCAAACCCTCCAAATCCCATTCTCCCATTCTTAAGTTTTCTCCTTGCCATTGATGATTTTCTAACCCAAACATGTCCCCTACTTTAAAGCTCTGATCAGTGTTGCTGAAGCAAGTATTATTGTAGTGGTTGTTATTTCTTTTCATATTATCAATGCTGTTATTGGCAGCATTATTGTCTTCAATGCTTCTACTCTCAAGTGGAGGAAGAGAAAAGTCCCCTTCCAACCCTATTTTTCCAGGCTCTAAAATCCCATAATCCCCCCAAAATCCCTCTCCCATACCACCTTGTGTTATGCATGTGGGCACATCGAATGCGCCCGTCATGTCATAACGGTTATTGAGCGGAGGAAACGGATCGAATTGGTTTCCTGTAGCCATTGGTGGCATGGATGTTGATGATGAGTCCTTGAATAAGGCCATGACGTCATGTTCATGCACTGGAAAAATCCCTCCTACAACATCTCTGGGCTCAGATGAATCATTGTTGTTTGGTGATGAGGATACGGAGGTTTTATTTTTCAATCTTTTCTTTACTGTGGAGTTCCAGAAATTCTTTACTTCATTATCTGTCCTTCCTGGAAGACGAGCCGCGATTTGAGACCATCTGAAACATTTGTAACCAATGATAAATAAGACATATAACATTCCAGCAGAGATGTTAAATGTGTTCCATTGATGCATTTATGCTTAAGCTCTAAAACTGAAATAAGTATGCATATAATTGGGAGAAAAGAGGGGAATAGTGAGGACTGTTAAGGCCACTCATTTTTTTATACAATTGGATAAATGTTGATGTATATATCTCTATATTTATTGACAAGTGGATATAAATAATGAACTTATAAACCAATAACAGCTTCTGAGGAATGCACATTCCACTTTGTCAAGAGTTTTTAAGCTGAGAAATGATCAATCTCAGTGTTTCACAATACAGTATATGATATTGGCATTTCCACATTAACATTAATACGAGTTTCTTTTGCTTCTAAGTGTTACAAAAAGGAAAAAAGAAAAAAAAACACTTTTTATCATCAACTATGTTGTGATATGATCTCTCTATTTAACTTCAAATAACCACTGTATATATATATAGTTTCATTAGTATTTTTTTTTTTTTAACTTCATTGAGCTTTAGAAGAGAAAGAGAACCTGTTGCCAAGGATGGAATGCAAATGTATGATAAACTCTTCCTCCTGAGGAGAAAAGGCTCCACGCTTAAGATCAGGTCTCAAGTAATTAATCCATCGAAGACGACAACTCTTGCCGCACCTCTGTAGACCAGCATTCCTAGCAATGTCACTCCAACAGCCTTGCCCTTTGTTTAACATGTACTTAATGAGTTTCTCATCCTCTTCGGGTGACCACAATCCCTTCCTCAGCTTCATCTTCTTGTTGTTAACTCTCATGTCTTTTCCCATATCTCGATCAGGCTTCCTCATTGCTGCTAGCTGGGCTGGGTCGCGATCTTATCTAGTGGAGCCTTTCTCTTTTGAACAGGTTTGATGGAGATAAAGAAGAGAAAGCTATATAGGTAAATGATTGTTGCATCAGAGAGAGAAGGCTTCACGGGGAGGTAATGGTGATGATGATAGTGATGGTTGTGGGGTTTGCTTTAAATAAATATATTATGAGAAAGAAATGCATATGACGAGAGTGTTAATTTGTTGGTTGATGGGTGGAGTGTGAAACGGATTGGAGGGGGACCTCCCTCCCTCGAGTCGACCCTCAGGCCTCATACACGCGCACAGATACAGGATCGAATGAGAGAGAGGGATGATTGGTGATCTTGTCTTTTGACTCTATCTTGTCTTGTCGATACATTTTTCTTCACTCACAAGGTAATCATCATATGTGTACGAGACACAGATTAACCAGTTTGTTTGCTTCCATTTCACACGATGCTCTTTCTCTCTTTCTCTCAACCCACACGTGTATTAGAAGAATAAGCCTATGCCCCAAGAAGAGATCAGAGACAGGACATAAAACAAAAATACTTTTACTACATAAAACAAAAACAACTTTTAGGATCTGGTCAGGTCTCCCACATATGCAGGTTATCTTTGTTCAGACATGAATTAAGACAGTCCCTAACATGCCGGCCTCTCAATTATCAAGGAATATTGAAATTTAGGAAACATGCATGAACCTAGCTGGCTAGCTGGACTGATTAACCTTCAATGCCCCCATCCCCCAAGCCACTGCCCCTTCTTTTGGTCTAAAAGCATTCTTTTCCTTAAAGCATCGTTCTGTTAAGAGTAATTCATTATACTAATTAAAATATACATTGTGTAACAATGTATATCCAATAGGATATGTAAAATCAATGAAGCAAGTGATATGATTGTCAGGCCCTCAATCCATCAAACTAGTTACAAACATTTATTTCAGTTAAACATATCTATATACAAATTCCTTCCTTAATCTTGTTGGAAACAGAAAGCACTTCATATGGAAATTCAGTACGCAGTTGAAACCAATAGAGTTCTTTTGTAAATGTTACCAAGCTGATATTGACCAAGGAATTATTACTTTATCAATTAGGTTTCACTTATTCGAAGCCAAAATCAACAACCAACTACATGGCCCATCCCGAGGTATCTTAGATATTAGTAATATAACCCCACAACTTTCATTGTCTTATTTGCTGTCAGGGTCATCTTTCCTATCTAATTCCTGTCCCTGCATGCCAACAAGTTACCAAAGAAAATAAAATTCATGAATGATAGAGAAATTATCGGTCATCGTTCCACCCAAATCCATCTTATTAGTCAAATTCTTCAAGTATAAAAGACCAGTATAGAGTCATTCGGATAATGTTGTATTTACTGATTGCGAAGGGCATAATTTCTGGCAAAAGGTGAGTGGAAATCTCTCAAGCTACTCAAAAGTTTCAAAAGTGATCTCTTTATCAACAGCTGTCCAGGAAAAATCAGTTTCATGCTTGTAAGGCTGTCCCAAGCAACAAACTACTTGCTTAAAAAGACATGGAAGAAAAAAAACACCTAACATTGTACTAGATTTATATTGATGCTGAAATGAATATTAATCTGCAGCAAAGAGAGATAATATTTATTTACCATTAATGACTCATCAAGTATTGCTTTGCCTTTTTAATTGCCTTGTTCATTGGACCCTATCTCATGCCTATATATGTCAATATACATAATACAAGGAGACATGCATCTGTATTCAAAAACAGCGTCCAACATCAAGGCAAGTAACATTTGAGAAGTACCAGAACAAATTATGATCTTGAAAAGTGAAGTAGCCACAAAAAGCCATACAAAAGGTATATCAGTCATTTTCCCAAAAAAATGCCCAGAAAGTTGCATTTATTGTGAATGGATGCATTCCATCCTATGAAAAGTACAAGAAAACAGAGGCACACATGACCACATATGATTCTTTCCCCTTCTTGGAGTAACCAAGTGGTGCAGAAAGGAATCTAAAAAGGTCAGTGGGCGATAACAACATCTTTCAGAGGGCACCAATGTTGATAGGTTCACGCAAGAACCTCTCCATCTGTTTTGCCCTAGTCTTAATGGACATGTCAAACACCTTTTGCTCAAACTCTACCACAAGCCCACCAAGAATACTAGGATCAATCTGAAACAAACAGGAGAATACTTAGAATTCCACTGTGAAACAAGCAGTAAATTAGAATATAAGCTACGGATAAAACTGCATACCTTCTGTTCCAGCTTAACCTGCTTCCCCTCTCCAATTATTTCCTGCAAGGTCTCCTTCAGTTCTTTCTCCTCCTGTGGAGGAAGGGGCTGGTACAGAATGACAGCCATCAAGTTGCGAAAGAGAAGAACATCGAATAGAGAATCATTGTAAAGAAGACTACTTCCAAATTCGTAGAGCCTAAACACTCAGGAAGCAGCTAAATAGTTGCTAGAAAAATGTTTGACATCAAAAGCATCAGGCATTTAAGCTATTAGTTCAGTAAAAGAGCTTTGTAATCACAACGATTTCAAAAGATGAACAGTTCTAATGTACTAAAAAAGACCATTGAACCAAAATTTCATATATATACCTAATTGCATTTTACTGTTAGCCTGCAGTCATCTTTCCTTCAAAGGGAAGAAGAGTGAACTTACAATAACAGTTGTGACAACGGCTTTCACTTCTCCCTTATGAGCCATCGTCAAATCCACAAATCTCTTTGCAATGCTTTCTATATACTTTAGCCTTCCATTTTCAGCCACTATAACTAGCATAGATAAATATAAAGAATTTAGAGAAGTATTTAATATTTACAAACAACAAATTAGGAGCAACCAAGAAAGGTTGAACTTCTTAGGAAATCCAGCAACAGCTCTAAATAATTTAAATAATTCAAGTAAAAATATTCTCAATATATTATCCAGTTTTTCATACCCAAGAAGTTCTTTGTAAGATCTGAAAATTTAGCTTGACCACATATATCATTAATGGCTTCAACTCTTGTCTTGGCAGGTACTGACAAGTCCTTGGTGAATTGAGAAAATATTCGACTTTTCTTTGAAGCCTCAACAAGGTCAAGAAGTTCAGACTCAACCTTGTCCAGATTATTTCCTTTTACTGCTGCAAGATACAGTGCAGAGGCATAGTTTCCAGATCCCCCAAACAAAGCTAGAGGCACCTAAAAGGCCATTAAGAACCAATGGAGCAGAATTAAAAACACATTAACGCGAAATTAATTTCACATCCCAACTGCCGTTCTATCCTTGGAAATTTAAAACACACACTTCAACCCTCAATGTTGTACAACCCAATGAACGTATATGGTCAAACCGACCTCCAGATCAAACAGCCGATATTTATTCACAAAAACGATTTTGTTAATGATTAAAAATCACAAAACCCAAGTTGTTAATATTCACAACCAATATTCCACATTTCATCCAATGAGAGGCAAATAAGGTGATAAATTAGTTCTAGAGCATGTGCCTAACTAAAGTATGTTTGTCCAAACTCTCCTGAATTCTTCACGGAAAAACAACAGCTTTTAAAAGTTAGAAGAAGACCAAGTACCTTAACTTTCTCTTCCCTTTTTGGGGAAGCCGTGGAATAATTCTTCAACAGCTGAAAGAAACACAATGTGAGAAATCAGACAGAGAGTCTAGCTTAACTCATACACTCCTGTGAAATGCAGAGGAAAAGGAATCGAAGTTAAGATTATAAGCTTTACACTAATCATAAGAGCCCAATTTTTCATCTTTTGTAAAAAGAGGCAATGGGATATCTCCATTTTCTCTCATTATGAAAACATATATTGAATTGAAAATAAGTTTTGATTTCAAAAACTAGACCTGATCATTTAAAATACCAGGTGACAGAAGACGATCATGATATGAAAATAGGCCACCATGTGACACGACTTAAAATTTTAATAATAATATATATGGGCTTAACAAAACAAATAAATATATATATATATATATATATATATATATTGTCAACACAAATTGTGGCGCCCAATTTTTGTATACAACACGATACGAACACACGAATTGAAGTATTTTACACGACACAAATACATGAATCACCGTGTCTATCAAAAACAGTAGCAGAAAAACAAAGGCAAAGCAAATAACAAACTGAAACAAAAATATAAAGAGAATCATATTTGTAATGGAGAAAACAAATTAGGGCAATTTCACATCTGAACAAAAAAAAAAACCTAACTTTTGAAGTACAATAAAATTATATTACAGAATAGAGGAAGAAATAGATGAGAAAGACAGCTTGGTGAAGCGATCATGGGTTACCTCGGGACAAAGAAGGGATTGGTGAAGAGTGGATCTCTGACCGTGAAGGGACATAGGATCCGCTCTCAAAAGCCTGTTAAAGAGAGGGAGAGTCGATCTGACGCGCCCTACCATCGCCATTTCTCAATACAACCCTAATTCTTGCGTCGATTTGGTTTTGGAGATCGCTTCTGAAAACCGAAGATTGAAATTTTCTTCTGGCTGGATATTAGTGGGCTGTCGTCTCATTGTACTTTTGGTGTCCTTGAGAGAACCGAGCCTTGCCTGGCCCATTATGACCTTGGACTGTCAGCAGTCATGTTCCAAATTGGCCCTTTCTAGTACATGGTTCAAAATCGGCCCATTATAATAGGGCCTTAATATATAATGAGGCTCGGACCTTTCAGCAGTGCTATCCAAATCAGCCCATCTAATTATGGTTCAAAACAGGCCCATTCTAATGGTAAGAATAAAAATATAATTTTGTTAATATTATTATAAAGTGAACGGCAAACGATTAACAAATAAATAACAAAAATAAATAACAAATGAATAAATTTTAAATAAATTTATTTACGAACATAAATAAATTAAATAAATCTTTGGTTATACTCAGTTTGAAATAAATGAATATAAAAACACTATTTAAAATTATTTATTAAATTTAATAAATAAATATAAATAAAAAAAAATCATACATGTTCACAAAGAATTCGGTGAAAATTTTTGTTGGTTTACATTTTTAAGTATTTCCTGACTGATGGTGAGGCTTGGACCTTTCACCAAGTAGGTTACAAATCGGCCCACTCTACCTTACATTGTTACACTAGTTGGCCGCCATGTACGAAAATGAGTACCATACTCGATGTCTTGATATTCGATTGATGTAACTACAAGATTTTTGCTAATGAATATCTTTCAAATATTTTTTATTATGAAATATAATTGTAATTAATATTGTAAGTTTTAATGCATTAAAAAATAAATTATTTTATACAATAGGCTTAAATACTATTATAAAAATGGAATACCCAATAACAAAATCTTGTCTTACATTTAGTATCTTAGATTAACTTTCATATACGTTCATTCAATTGGCTACAGCTTGATTGCAGTGCTGCTACTATTGTACTTGTTATGCTACTTTCTTATATATTATTATTCATCTCTAACTCTAAAATCATGAAGGAATATCGATTTGTCATGATGTTGGTATTTGAGTATTTTAATGAACACAATTAATGTCTCTCTATGTGCAATTCACAACCTTATCTTTTTCCTTCTTTGAAAATTATTATTATTATAAATAAACAAGGAAACAGGCAACAGGGTTCCAATTTGCAAAGTCAAAAGCTCTCGGCTGGTATTGGTAATGGTAAACCCCACGTCTCCAGAGAGAGTCTCCAACCAACTACCACTCTCATATCCTAAACATTCAAATAAAGCTCATCAACAAGAATAAGAGTCTGCATCTTCACTAGTACTGATAGTCGAGTGCTCAGTTGTTTACACAGGCAGGCTGACTTGTTTGGCTTTTTGAGGATTGCATAATCTGAATTAAGGTAAACCATGTTGCAGTTGTTGTTTACAATTGCTTTCTCTGCAGCGCCTTTGACTCTATATGTTCCTCCTATGAGAAGCCTGAATCTCTTCGTTGAGACCATGGAGGATCTGGTGAGGGAGTCCAGGGTTTATACCGACAGACTCTACCCACGTGCTCGACTCGTGTGGTCTAGGATCTTGGATTGCATGCTTTGCAACTTGAGGTTGGATTAGATTTAATTAGATTGTCTTCTGTCCTCCTGACAAACTTTAATCATCAGATCTCAATATACATAGTTTTGTGTTTCCTGTGCTGATAATAAGGCAAGATAGAGAATATATAATAAGCCAAAACATTCTTTTGGTGGTGCCATGTTGTTTCTTATTGTATATCTTTGCGGGATAGGGTTCCTGTTGAATTCAATGTTGTTTCTTGAATCTTATGGAGATGGGATCCATGTGAAATGAGGAATTTTCAGTATAGTTTATTTGTAGCTGTAGCCATAGGTTATCAGCTTAGAAATTGCTTGTGTTCAGAGTTTTTTGTTTTACCAATATTGAAAATTTGTTGATCATCTGAGATCTGACTTCAACGATTAAGATTTAGGAACCAGATACACCATGCCAACTGTATACAAACCACTCGCTTGACTTCATACTTTATATTTATGTCATAACTCCCAAACTCTCAAGTCTTTAACAAATTTTGACCTTAAAAAATTACTATAAAAAAGAAAAGAATATATTTTCTATTTTATTGCCAAGAGAAAGAGATGTGCTTTCACATATTTATCTCATATATGTTTGCAGAATTTGGCAGTTTGTTTCTTGGATGTTGGTGCTCATTCATTCCTATCCTATCTGTGAATTAGATAAACATCACCTGAGAAATCGTCTTTCTATTGCTAAATATGGGGGTGGGAGGCAAAAGGAGAGAGACAAAAAGATGAAAAGCCTGTTATGTGGCTTATCTTCGCCTGTTTGTAATTTTCAGGCAAGGCTATAACTCCTTCAGCTTTTACGTGATCATTAAATGAGACAGCAATTTTGAACCTGACCACATATTCCAAAGGCTTAATATATAGGCTTGATTAGTGTTTAATGCTTCTTGGAGGACATTGAATAAACTGATCGAAACATTTCTTTGAGGACATGACATAAAGAAAAATCATCGCCTGAATTCACTAAGGGGGAGATGAGGAGTGTAGATCTGTATTCACTGAAAATGGATTTGATTACAGTTTCTTTTATTAGCAACAAATGAATCAAGGAACTATAACTAAGAACCATAACAAATGAATCAAAACATAGGAGTTTTTGTCTTTGAGGTAAATGAAAAGAATGAAAGAATGCATTTGAATTTCTTGTTCGATATCAACCTGTTCATTCAGACAGTGTGCAAGGCTTCAGGAACCAAAAAACATCCAATGCTCTCGCTTGTCTTCCATCAATAATATTAGTACTAGAAGAAATATTTCCAGGTTTTTCTGCCGGTGGTTCATCTTTATTTATATCCTTGGTTTGCTTCAGTTCTTGAAGGATCCCTCTCTCCTATGGATGCATGAGTGAATGCATTAGTGCCATAACAAACAATCATTTACAAGAAACAACCTTCCTTTGCACTAAAAAGATAGTAGTTACATACCATAAGTCTGGATCTGGAAGCCTTGGAAGGGGAGTTTTTCATGGGGGCATGAGGGGCAGAAAAGCACTGAGGAGAGGGTGGATTGGTCCGTATTTGCAGTACCCGTTCTTGTCCTTTGTGCTTTACATACTCCAAATTCAGAGAGACCGGAATGTTCTCAGTTTCGTCATTTGATCTGCTTCTGCACAATATGATATAATCAAACTTTAGTACCCTATACAAAAACCCAAATCAAATTTAACCATCTGTTGGCTATTAGACTTACTTTTTCCTCCTTTCTTTATCCTTAGCACTTCCTTTTTCCATTCCTTCAAGTTTCTCTTTACCCATTTCAAGTAATGGCTTCCTCTCTTTCTCTGTCATGTCCAAATCACCCAAAACCTGACCAGAAACCTTCTTCACTACTACAGCCTCTTGGCTCTTCTTGTCACTTAACTTTTCCTCATCTTCTCTCTCCTTCGCTCTGGTTGCCAATTTCTTCAACTCATTGCAAAACTCAGTTATATGATTTAGTATGTCCCTACCAGAAAACAATTTTCTAGCTGAGAAATTAGTGCTTTGGGAGATATCAACTATTGGTTTCTTTTTTCCACTGCTTGACTTGATTGCTGCTTTCAAAGACTTAGCTTGGTGATTCAGAGGAGTGGATAAATTTGGGTTCAGGTTTTCACTATCTTCATCGAATGTAGGATCAATCTTTGAAGAAACTAAAGATTGAACCTGTCCTCTTTGCTTCAGTTTGTAATCTCTGAAACAAAAGAACCCCAAAATGGAAATAAGTGAAGTTTGGGTGATAAACTGAATCTTGAAAACAAACTTGTTGTAAGCTAAGGTTTGGGTTCTTACCCTTGATTCCTTTCCCCAAGTGAAAGGCTTCCACTTCCACTGCCATTAGCTGATCGGGCAAGCTTCAAAAGATGAACAAGAGCAAAAATGAGACAGTGAAAAAGGAACTGAAACAATAGGGCAAAAAAAAGGTACAGAAAAGCTGAGATTAAAACCTTTGAAGGTGGGGTGGTTTGAAGGAATTCCTCAGCTGTCATTGGATGGTTACAATCTGCAATGCCAAGACGACAAAAAGAAATTAAGGGTATGAACAAAATGAGAGAGAGAGAGAGTATGTAATTTTATTGAGAGGGATAAAGGGAGTACCAGGTCTGCAGAACCAGGCTTGGTCGTCAATGGAGTTGGAGTCCTCAAGGGCCAAAAAATCAAACCATTTGGGAGCATTGATGTGCTCATAAACGCAGTCCTCAACAAACCTGGAATTAATTCTCTTCCAGTCGATTTTTGCTGGTTCCATGGAGAAAGAAAGAGACAGGCAGAAATTGAGAAAGGTCGAGCACAGAGAGATGAAGAAGAACTAAGTAACGGTCAGTGGTTAGAGACAAAGAGGGAGAGTGAACGTTAGTTCAGTGGGGCTTTTCTTTTCAGTATTAGTAGTATTTTTCTTTTGACCGTTGGTGGCGTTTACTTGGCCTTGTTTTCTTTTTGAGTTTAGTTTTGTTTAGTCACGTGGTGGTGGTTTCTTGGATCTGAGTGACAATGTGGAATCCTATGAATCCAAAGTATCCCACTCAAGACAAAACTGGGGTATGATGTTCAAAACTTAGTTTTAATAGTATTAATCGAATCAATTTAGTTAATTAATTTTGATTGATTATCAAAAATAACTTTTAAAAATTTTTTATTTTGGATTAATTTAATTCAAAAATTAAATTGACCAAAATATAATAAAACTTATATATATAACTAAAAATATATTAAATTGCTTGTTTTATTTCAAGTTATTAAATTTTTTAATTTGATATTTGAATTTTTTTGTTACATTATTTTATTTTATTTATTTTAAATATAAAAAAATTTAAAATTTAAAATATAATTAATTTGATATATTTTGTTATTCGATTAAATAAAATTAATTGAACCGATCGAATTAATTTTAATCAATTAATTTTTAAATTAAAAAATTTGATTCGATTAATGAAAATAAAATAAAATAATTTGATTTTAAGTAATTTAATTCAAAGTTAACGGAACCTTGATCACTCACAGCTTCACCAGCTTTTGTCTAATACAAAGGAACCAAATGCAGCTAAATAAAAGGTATACAAAAGTTTGAAGAAAAAAAAAAAAAGATTTCGAGCCATGTTTACTCTAAATCTAGCTAATCTGATGTCTTAATGCCTTGATCCCTCGCCGAACACTTCATTGTTGCAAACCGGGCATATCTAACAAAATAGTATTTAGATTAGCGGTAAGTTGGAGACCCAAAATCAAAGCCAGTAGATGTTCAATTCTTTCAGCTTTGCAGAAACCATTAACTGACCTTGTTTATGCTAAGCCACTTGGTGATGCATTCTGAGTGGTAGATGTGCTTGCATGGCAATTTCATCTGCCGTTCCCCTCTTTGGTACCTCATCTGGCATATCACACATCTGTTTCACAAGTAAAGCAAATGATCACATAAAGATGTCAGAACAGATAAGAAAATGAGCATTTAAAATGAGGAAAACACCCAATTATCCCAAAGAAAAAAAGAGAAAGGAGGAAAGAAAACAAAAACTGCAACAAATAGCCTAGAAAAGAAAGTAGAAGCATATAACAAAAACCAACTAAACCAGTGTTAAAGGAGAATGTTAGTAATGAATCATCAAGAAAACCAAACTTTATGAGCTAATCACAAACCCTTCATGAGAAGAATTCAACTGCAACATTTTAATTTGTGGCTTGCCTTAAGGCCATGTTAAAGTAATCTTTCGAGACTGCAAATGCTACCAGCTAACCAATGATTTCTCCTACGAAGCTAAAAGGGTCCCTCTCAGATGTTGTGACCAATACAATTCAGTATTCAGCATTACCAAGCATGTACTTTCACACCATCAGATTACGATGCTTTGGTATTTGAGCTTATTGATTACCATGGAAATTTGTTTACACAGATTACAAACAGATTTTTTTACACAGTTTCATAAAAGAGGACATTGTTAAACAAAATAGATACAAGTAAAAGTTTCACCTCTCTCTAGACTTTTTCCTTGAGAAGAAGCTTCCGAACTTGCATTTTGAGGTAGGAAGCAAATCAATAAGCTCCTTGGAAAGACCCCGACTTTGACTTCCAACTGCCTCGCCTAAGTCAAGCAATTCCTGCCATACAAAAATTATGTAGCTAATCAATGACATCCATGCAAGCTTTGACTCAATTAATCCCTAATTATGTGAGAATGAAAATGCATGTAATTTAAACGTTAAAGCAAGATTAGCTGTAAACACAAACCTCATAGGTCATGTTATCTGGGTTGATATTATCCTGCCAAACCACCTGTGACAACAAAATGCAGATCATCCTTCAATCAGTAAACAATATCGATTCCAGGATTTAGTGTAACTGTGGTTAAAACTGTGTAACATGCAAAATCAAGAACAAAAATTTAATCAAAGTTCTTCAAATATGGATCATGGTTGAGGGAGTGAGTCAGTCAGTAAAAGTATAATTATGTGAGAGCTACGGCTCAAAAAGGGTCTACAAATATAGGTGTATTTAGTAAAGAATATAGGCTAATTTCCCCCATATTTGTATCCATGCTAATGCTTGCTTTTCCAGTGCTTACTCTTTATCATGATAGAAGGCTATCCTCTGATCAAAGTTTTTGAGTACTTTCTATGGTAATAAGTTAATAACAAAGACGAAATTTTGATCAGGGCAATTGTTGGACTTCATTTCATCCTCCAGAAGTTTTGGTACTCTGAGTTTTTATCTACTGTTCCTTTCAACCAGGAGTCTGGGTGAGATACATCATGCATGAGAACAAAATGCACAAGCACATGCAAGAAAAAAATTAACATCTAAAAGAACAGATATCATACCTGAGAATTACTATTGCTTTGATTATTTGGAATGCCTACAAAAAAAAATAAATCTTTAGGACTAAAAATGTAGGTAAAAGAGGAAAATTGATGGGATATATTGTCAGAGACATTTAAAGAAACAGATTCACTCAAGAATCGAATGAATCATGAACAATGTAAAGTTCTGTCCATCATTTGCAACAAGAGGCTCTTTTGTTTCTTTAAAACAAAACAGTCAATAAACAACATAGTACATAGATGCCAGGAGAAATTATCTTTATTAATTCCAACAACCTAGTAAATATCAGATTAGAAGAACTTTAAACAAACGGACAAAAATAGGCATCTAATTCAAACAAGTTTTCAGAAACTGTTAAGATCAAAACATATTTAAAACTAACGTTCTTCAGGTATAGCATCCACGCCCACAACTGCATCTCCTCCAGGCTGCACATCTAAAGTTATAGGCTCTTCAGAATTCAGCATTGACGGGTAGTCCCAAGTCCTCCTGCTGACATCCGATCTTGGCAAAAAATCATTTACCTCATATGGACTGTAAGGAGTACTCTCCAGACCAAAAAACCCAAATTTGTATGCATTCATACTCATTGACCAGTATAAGTTTTCCTGGACAGAGAAGAAATAAATACCATTTTATCACATTCATGCATGAAACAACTAGGTGTACAACATGAATCCACCACCAAGCAACTGAGTGATGTCTTAGCATACAACTGATTTAATGACCAAGTGAATAGAAAGTACATCTACAAAGGAACAGTGAATGCATAGTTAGAAGATAAATAAAGCATGTGTTGGTATATTAAAGCTTCAACAATTTTTTCTGAAAGGACCATAATTAATGATGTTTTATTTTAGCACATAAATCCATAGCAAATGACAGGGGAAGACCCAAGTTCATTTCAAAATTAGAAACACATCAATCCCATAAAATCCTTGATCATATCAATGTGCAGACTTTTCCTAAAAAACTGTTACTTTAAAAAAGATAAATCTTTCATGGGTTGATTTTTGTGTGTGTATGTATACATATAAAGGCACATAAATGCACCAGTGAGACAATGTACACATAGCATTCATGAGAAGCATGGGTCTGACAACCTCACACCTAAGCATTGGCCATAAGCATGAATAAAATAATCAAACATGGTTCGGAAAAGTTTCTTTTTTTTTTGTTTCTTTTTCCATCAAATAAAAGATTAAAAATCTGAAAATACCTGATCATGCATCAGTCCAGCGTGAGGGTAATTCCCTGGAACATGTGTTGGACCATCAAAAAAGTCCATAAAGCTTTCAGTAGCAGTGTAAGGAAAGCCTGTATCTAAGTGATGCACCTCCATTTGACTATTCATATTCATGTTTAACCTCTAAGCTGCAATTAAGCACAACATTACTATCATTATCACACAAGGCTTTTCTTTTTGACTTTCCAAAAGGTTAACTTTTCTCAGGGCAGAAATTATAGAATAAGTTGATATAAAAATTGTAACTTCTTACTTGAGCAGAGTTTCAAGCCAAATTCAGTGGTTCTGCAACAAATCGTATGAACGAAAATCCAATGATGTTAGTGTGATTCCCTCTCTCTTCTGCAGTAATTCGCAGAGATTAAAGCAGCATTAGTCACAGCTCTTGTCATCTCCCTGCAAAAACTTTTAAACAAATAAGTAAACAACATATCAGAGAAAAGTTTATAATATTCTCTCGTATTTTCCGGAGTATGAAGAAAACAAAGAAACCCAAAGCATCAAAATCCAAATGCTTTCCCTTTTTGTAACCAAAAAAAAAAACCTTCGATTAATCCAACTAATGGAAAAATGAAGCTACAGAATCATACCAAGAAATAATTTTTTTTTGAAAATTTCAAAAAAAAAAGTTATTGAAAAACATAAGCAGAGAGAGGTTAGAGAGCCATTTTGAGGGAAAAATTACACTCTAGAAACAGAAGAAACAGTGAAGCTCTGTCTGTGAATGTGAAGAAAGGCTAGAGAGATAGCATTGAAAGGTGAAAGTGAAAGCAGGAATGGTCTTTCACTCTTCTTTGTACACTTGCTTTTCTGTTGCGTTTATACGCTCACTCATATCATATATAAATGTATAATTATTATCAATTACTAAGCTTATATACTATATATAATTATACATTTTCTTTAATAAATAGGTTTTAATAATATGAAATTTCCTTTAATAAATGTTATTTATTTTTTAAAAAATTAAAGTTCAATAAAGTTTGGTCCCCAAACCGGGACAGCAACAGCTTTAATTTTAAAGCAAAGCAGCAGCCTACATTTAATGTTTACTAGTTCTTCTACTGCTACCATATTATTATAAATAAATAAACAAAATCCAACTTTCCTTTCTCCGCGGTTCACGACAAACACTAACCTCTGCTAAAACTAAATATACATTAATTATTATTATTATTATAAAAAAGAAGAATTACATCCAGCTAAAAGACAGATGACCAAGCCACCTGTCTCATTGATGAAAGTTGTTAAGAGTACAACAAGTCTCTTGTAATAGTCTCTTGTAATAAAATGCCCACATTTAAGTAGTCATGGTTAGCTCACTGGCTGCAACGAAAATTGAATTTTACACCAATTTTATATCAAAGTACCGGTACTGCTACATATAATTGGTTTGTTCACCCAGACCTGCCAGCTTCTCAGAGTCTTAAATTCTTCATTTGTTTGATTATCATTCTCGATTGGTTCTCTAGTATTCGTCATTGTTTTAGTTTGAATGAACAATGAAATTAAAAATTAATTATTATTATTATTATAATTACAATTAAAAAAAATTTTATATTTATAATTTTTAAAAAATTTTCATAAAAAATTTATACTAAATAAAACTCATTAAAATTGATATTTGAATAATTGATAATATGATAATCTGAACTGTTATAGTACGATAAACTTAAATATATCACACCAAAAGTACGAAAAAATCTAAACCCCACTTAATATCGTTGAAATCATAAAAGAGAAACCGCAGGGGAAGACAAATTAAATGTACGAAATGTAGTTCAGTAATAATATTAGATTATATTATATTATTCAATACTTTTAACAGAGGCAATCTAGAAATCAAAGAGCATGCAACTCAACAGGAATATCAAGGCATCACTCATCGGAGATCAAATAATTCATTTTAGTAGGCAAGGCAAAGAAAATTGTCTCCGCGAGGATAAAATTATTTCATGTGATTTTATCACATCAACTTAACAGATAATACCAATTTCAAACAGCATAAGCTGGGGTGATACCAATCTGAAACAGAATAATTAGAACTTCAAATATAAATATCCCTCAAGTCGTAGAACCAAAAATCCGAGATGAGGCAGTGGCACTAGCCACCAATCTTCCGATCAGGGTTTTGAATCAAAACTTCTATCGGAAAATAAAAATCGTTTGGAGAGTAACTATCCCCTAAATCTGAATTATTGAATAAAATTTTACCGAAATAAATTTCTCGGGAGTCAAGCTTTATCATCACCATCTAAACCTAAACAAAAAGGGAGATATACCCAAGATTAAGCACCACCAGATCCATACTTCTTTCCAAGCACAATGAGCTGCAACTTGTCATATCCAGCTAGCACACCAGCACCAGCAATGGCACGAAGGATGTTCGCTCCAGCACCCTTAAATAGAGACTTGGCACCCTCATTTTTCAAGATCTGAGAAAATGCATCAAATGAGCTCTTGTATTTGACTGCTTCACCAGAGGTCATCATCATTCTTCTACGAACAGTGTCAATTGGGTAGGATGCAAGGCCAGCACCATTAGTGATAAGCCAACCCAGGGCAAAGCTAGCAAAGAAACTATCCTGCAATTATGAGAGGGAAACATAAAGCAAGATGTCATTACAAAATTACATTATGGAAGTAACATTTACAAAGCTCAATTAATGAAAGTTATTGATACCTCTTATATCACATAGCTTTAATAAAACATACTAACCTGCAAACTACCGGTCAAAACCACTGGCTTCAGAGAGTCATACATTCCAAAGTATAGACCTCGGTAAACAATGATTCCAACACATGAAATATTGAAACCACGGTAAAGCCCAGCAATACCATCAGTTTTTAAGGTCTTCCTATAGACATCAACAAGCCCGTTGAATTGCCTCTCTCCTCCCTTCTTTGCAGCCTTTGCATCATTGGCAAGGCGGGTTCGAGCATAATCCAAGGAGTAGACAAAGAGAAGGGAAGAAGCACCAGCTGCACCACCTGATGCCAAGTTCCCAGCAAACCATTTCCAGTAACCATCTCTGTCTTTCTTGAAGTTGAAAAGCCTCTTGAAGTAATCCTTGAAAGCAAAGTTCAAGGCCTGTTCAAAATGATCAAAGCAATAAGCATAAAACGCGAGCAAAAAAATAAAATTGAACAAAAATTAAAAGGAAAAAAAGTTACAATTGCTAACCTGAGTGGGGAAATAACGAATAACATTGGCAGTGTTTCCTCTCCATAAAGAAAGAAATCCTTCATCTCCAATTGTTCGCTTGAAACAATCACCAATACCCTTGTAGGGTTCAGAGAGCCTACCAGTTTTGATCATTTCATCCTGGTTCTGAATCAAGAGCTTAACACGCTCAATTGGAGCAGCAGCTGTTTTAGATACAGCTGCAGAAACTCCACCCATGAGGAAATCAATAGCAAAGCTGGCAAAGCCTTTCTCTGCAGGGGCTTGAACACAAACAGCAGACGCCATTGAAGGAACCATAGACAGATCACTGGTGGCTCCACAAGCCCGGATAATAGGATAATGAAGTGCAGCATTGGAGTAATTCCCATATGCAACACATCTTTGGAATACAGCAGGCCTCCTGAAAGACCCATCATACCCTTGAAAATCTTGGGAATGGCTAGAAAAGGAGCTCGCCTGCTACCTTCTGAATGACAGTTGGGAGTTGCACCTGATCCATTCTGACTTCCCTGCAAGAAAGCACATCAGCACATGAACATACAAAGAGAATACAGTGAAAAAGAAATGCATGTTAACAAATGAGGCAACATCACAATGATTTTGTAACAAGCATAAGCAAAAGGTGCAACAAGGTAAACTAAGGGTATATACCACAGGAGTAACACACCTCAGCAAGAACAAAGTATCACTAGAAGAAAAAACATAAAACAAAATGACATCCAAACAAGACTCATGGATACAAGAACTTAAATCATCACATCACTTTAAGCGAAAACATCCAATAAACACTATATAACAAAGCAAACTATCAACTGAGATGCATTGCCAATCAAAATATCCTAAATGGTCCCAGAAACAACTAATAGGTCAGGTAAGATAGCATGCATAGATTGCTAAGTTCCTATATTATCTGATATTATCGGAGTCACAAAATATAAACATCTCCAAATCTATCACCTGTAAACGAAAATGTATGTAAGTATTTCAATACAACATATGCCTGACAATCTAAAACATGACACGTACACAATACCAAAAAAGCACACAAAGTGACATGATTTAAAATTTTAACAATAACTATATATGAATTTAACAAAACCAAAAAATGTATTTCATATTTTTGTATTTGATGCAAATTGTGACACTTAGAACTGCCCAGTTCATCCTTCGGAACCATATCACATCCCGGATCTGATGAAATAGGATGAATTGAGACGGTATTTTGTAAATACATAATTATCTTGAATATATTAACTATACGAATATATAACATGATAAATTTCAGCAGACATAATTCAATATTACAAAAAAATACATATATGTTAACTCCTATTAAAGTTTGAAAAAGTCAAATGGAGAGCGCCTAAAAGTGACGCAAAGTAGTACCAATTAAAAAAAATCAACAGATCTGAAGAATCCAACAGTGAGTGAGGATTGGATACAAATCAGAAAGGTTTTCACGCCACTGATATGCAAACAAAAGCAGTAAATACCAATAGATCTAATGAATCAAGACTAAATTTTACAAAAATAACACGTTTATCATAGATCAGACAGAAAAAGTAGCAGAAAACAAACAGATCTAAGAGTAATAATAATAAAGAATACTAACAATATAGTAACAGTATAGATCTAAAAGAATATGATGAACTAGAAAAGGTAGAAGCCAAAACGGAGAACATCAGATCTGATATTTGTTTACCTTCGAAAAGAGCGTGATTTGTGGCTGCAACAGATTGTTGGAGATCTCCGCCTTTCGCTTTGTGTTGAGAGGAAAGGCGAGAATAAGAGAGATTTTCTTTCTGCAAAGGCGAGACTTTGAAGAAGAGCTACGGTCCCTCCTGCCTTCTTATTGGCTTTACGAGTTACAGGAGGCAGGTCTTATGTGCGACAGCAATGATTCGTTACGGTTAGTGGTGCGCTGGATGTGAACTCTTCCAAATTTACATGCCTTTATCACCGTTCCTTATGCCGACTTTTTATTGCCAAAGTAATGATTCGTTACGGTTAGCGGTGCGCTGGATGAGAGCGCTTCCAAATTCACGTGCCTTTATCACCGTTCCTTATGTCGACATTTTACAGCGAATGCTTTATCAATAACTTTAGATTTACCCTTTGAATTATATCATTTTTTATTATTTGAATATTTATTAAAAAAAAATTTAATCCTACTTGATTTTTATTTTCGTTAAATATTTTGTCCCACATACCAATAGTAAAGTGATGTGATAACAAATAATATGATGATTCATGATAAATTTTTATTTATCAATAATTATCATGTTAATGTTCAATGATACAAAATATTTGATGAAAACAAATTTTAAATATTTAACAATAAATTTTTTATAAGTATGAAATCTTAAAAAATAATATAATTGAATAAGCAAATTACATATTAAGTTATTTACAAATTGAGATGAAATTCAAGAGAATGACAAAAAGTTCCGTAATTGAATAGCCAAATTATAGTATTAATCTTAATTTATTGCAAAGTTCATTAAAGGGCACAGCATCTTTTACATGGCCTAGTATTTGTTTGAGTAAAGAAGTAGTGAAAAATAATTGTTAATTTTTGTATAATTTTTTTTTTTGTTTTTGAAATTTTTAATCTACCATTTAATATTTTTATTTGACTATATGTTTTATTAAAAAGTACATTATGTGTTAAAATTTTTTCGAGTACGTAATTTTTAAA